CCTCCTCCCACCTGGCAGCAAGATCCTAGCCATGATGCTGGCAGACCGTATACGTGACAGAGCCGAAGCATACATCCGCCAAGCACCACAATTCGCCTACGTCAGCAATCGCAGCACCACGGACGCGATCAGCCGTGTATGCAGCCACTTACATGAAGCACGAACCCTGGCTGCAGCCGCTATTCCCAAAAGACATCAGCGCCACTCTGGCGCCACCCCCTGTCAACTCGCCGGGGGTCTCTCGCTCAGCCTGGACGTTGATAAAGCCTTTGATTCGCTGCCAAGAGAACAGCTTGTAACTTCAATGCAGGCTGCAGGCCTGACATCAGAAGAGGTAGCGCTTGCGCTCCACATCCACGACCAGGCCAAACTCACCTTCGAGCTGGCAGGGCACAAAGATGAAGTCGAGCTCTCACAGGGCATCCGTCAGGGCTGCGGTCTTTCGCCCCTCCTGTGGTCTATGGCAACCACAAAGCTCTACCTAAAGTTCAAGGAGACAATCACTCAAAAGAAGGAGATATTAGGAGAGCCCACCCTCTATGCCGATGACATCTGGTCCTCCTGGACCATACGGACACAGGAACAATTCCGTTCAAGCCTGCGCGCGGCAGGTATACTGATCCAGCTCCTCCACGAAGCAGGCCTCCGAGTGTCGCCCACGAAAACTGTCTTCCTGCTCAATCTCCAAGGTACTGCGGCCAGAAGCACTCTTCGCCCTAGACTTGCCAAGCTGGAAACAGGCGAGCCCGCCATTAAGCTTCGCGTAGGCCAAACTACCATGCTCATCAAGATAGTTGACGCCCATACCTACCTTGGAGCCAGAGTTGCCTACCAGAACCATGAAGCTCTCAACCTGCAACATCGCCTGCACCTTGGCTGGCAGGCCTACTGGCGACTGGCCAAGGTCCTCCGCTGTCGGGCACTGACCCTAGCCAGCAAAATCCGCGTCTGGAAGACATGTGTCTACCCGGTCGTCCTTTACTCTCTGGAGGCCACAGGCATCACCTACCACTCCCGCACACTCCTCTCTCAGTTCGTCCACGCTCAGCTCCGCCTCATCCATAAATTGCCGGGCCACATCACCAAGGTTACCTCCCACGATCTACTCCTCCGAAGCCAACTTGACCCGCCAGGCGACACCCTGGACCAGCGAATCCAACGACATCTCCAACAAGCCCCGGAGTTCCAAACTGAGGCGCAGGAAACCTGGTTCGAACTGCTGCAGGACTACTCGACGACGCCTGCTGTCTCTGCTTCCGACCCTTCTACCACTATGCCCCCTTCTCGGGGAGGCTCTACTCGCGCCCACCTCAAGCCCATCAGCAGTGTCCTCAGCTATCGGCCACTCAACTGCCCAATCTGCGGAGTTGGCTACAGCACCCTTCAGGCCGTTCGTCTCCACATGCGGAAGTCCCATCACACTCAAGTGAGACAGGCTCCTGCCTCCTCGGAACTGCGCCCACCTCCTGCTCAGGCTCCTGACCCAGATCACGCCTCCTCTACTCCAGTTGTCTTGATGGATCCAGATGCTACCACGGCCCCGGCCTCGATGCCTGACTTCGCGGCAGATGAACATGCTCTGTTCGTTTGGCAGCATGGTCGAGAAGGTCTACCACAGTGCCGACATTGCCTCCGTCAGTGTGATTCGTGGCATAACCTACGCATACACATCTCCACCAAATCCTGCCGAACCTTGGTCCCAGACGGCTTTAACGCCCTACCCCCAAAACACAACCTCAACCCGACTCCCCTGTACCACAGACCTGAATGTCAGCTCTACCTTGTTGGGAGTTGGGAAAGGCTCGCCTCATGGCTGAAAAAGATGCTCCCGCAGGCAGTCCATCACTGCCCGTACTGTCACCAGTGGCTGACCCAAGCGCGTGGCCTCCGAGCTCATATCAAAGCCAAACACTCCCCCATGATACCTTGCTGTGACGAAGCCGTCCAACGCATGCAATCTCATCGCAGGCTTTTGGCCCTTGGTAGCACCTGCCGCTACTGCAGCCTCTCCTTAACAGGAGCGCCTATCAAGCACGCCACTGAGTGTGCAGTCCTGTTCCTGGTCCATTTACTGCAAGCCACGCATGCGCTACATCATTCGACCCGCCTGCCTCAGGTCCGCGATGACTCTCCCCTCGATGTTCAATGCACACCAGGTGAGCCCGGAGGACCTGGAAGAAGCCACTCAGGAGCTCAAGAGCATCGAAGCGCAGGTCCGGCTGATACCCAAGCAGCCTCAGCCCCTGATGGCCCCAACGACGCTCATGAGCGAACACCCACCACAGGGAGAAATGCCGGACTCCTCGAATCCTCCATCGACGGAAGTCCCCGACAGACCTTCCAAATGGCAGAGGGACAACAGCAAAGGAGCCACCCAGCCAGGCAAGGGCAAGGGCTCAACAGGCCGTGGTGCCCAGGGCCAACAGAACCCTGCCAACCGCCCCCCACCTCAGGGAGGCCCGCCAAGACGTCAAGGGGGTCGCCCATCCGGATACCACCCCCAACCACCGTGGCAGCGCCAAGGACCGGGATACGGGCCTTCTTCAGGTCCCGACCTCACTCTCATGTGCCACACCATGGCCAGACTCCTCATGAGACACGAGGACGCTCTCTCAGTCCTCCAGCAATCCACCACCTGGATCCTCTTCCTCACAACTCAGCCCCCGGGCACAGTCCTTCCCAAGCTGTTCGCCACAGCCCAAGGATGGCACGAGTTGCGATGGAACGACCCGGAATCCATCACCCATCCGATGCGCATCATTCTGTGGCAGAAACTGATGCTCGAGCTATCTCAGCGTGCCCAGAAAGTCATCGACCAGGAGGATGCCCGAGAACAAGCGATCCAAATGGAGCTCTACAACCCGACCACGGGGTTCGGCTACCGCAAATGGAACAACAAGGAGGGCGTGATGCAGCCCATTCCCGATCGCGAACCGCTCTCGGCTCAGAAAGTGGTGGAGATTGCAAAGGAGCTAGCGACGCTGAGCGTACAACCGCAACTGCTCAACAGGTTCCATGCCACTCGTCAGCTGGAGGAGAAAATGGAAGGCAGCACAGTGACCTGGCTATTGGAAGTGGGCTGGAGGGGCGAGCACACGGCTCGCTTCTGGGAGCTGCTCCAGCTCCTTTCACACAACTCCTCCCTCCTGATGATCGGGTGCACCCTTCGTCCGGATCGCCTCCAGAGATCAGCCTTGGCCCAACAGCTGCAGACCCTCCTCCAGTCCATGCACATCCCTATGCCGAGACAGCCGCCGAGACCTCAGCCTTGCTCCCGACATTACGGCTTCGCAATCCTTCCAACTACTGTTACTCCCATGCCTGCCTTTCTACTTATCTTTGGCTTGTGTCCCAAACTCCTTCCTCCTTTCAGGTACTGGACAGGGAACCGCTGAGGAGCTTCATCGCCCAGGCGCGCAAGCAACAGCCAGTGGCACTCTGGTCGCTCCTCCCGTGGAGGCAGGCAATGCGACGCTGGACCAACCCAGCCAGGCAACATGATGCAGCGGACTTCCTCCTCCATCTTCACCAAGTCCTCAATGCACCCTGCTTCCAGGGCCTCTGGCAGTCCTTTGACGACAGCCACGTGCTTCAAGATGAAGGCGGGGTCTGCCCACTCATACTTTCCGGTATGCAAGATGCCTCTGCAGCAATTGCCACCACTGCACAGTCCTGCATCAATCGCTGGCATTCGCAGAAACGTCGCCACGCCCTGATCGCAGGCACTGAAGCTGTGGCTGTACAGCTCAACCGCTTTTGCAATGACCGGGGCATTGCATCCAAACGTGACCATCGCATAGATGCTGATCCGGAGGTCCTTTTCCCACAATGGACTCCCTCATCCCCTGAAGGTATCATTTGGAGAACGTATCAGCTTCAGGCGATTGTCCAGCATATAGGACCGACTACGGTCAGTGGGCACTACCGTGCTGCACTCAGACCTCGTTCAGGCACAGCGAACTTGTGGCATCACACCGATGACAATTGTCCTGCTCAATCGGTCACCCCTGATGCCCTGTCCACCTCCAATTACATCCTTGTATACAGAATGAGGAGTGCAGCAACCTCTCCATAGGCCCTTCGGGGCAAGTAGCTACGTAGCTAGATGAGTCGATCCAATCGCGATCGAGCGCCACAGAGCGCCGGGTGACCCCCGCTCTAGTCACCGCAATGCGACCTCACCGTCCGCAGCGAGTGTGATGATGCTGCTTCAATGAGGACTAGGACCACTACCACCACAATCACGGCGGCGACCACAACCATGACCACCGACCGCGACCGCGACAGCGACCTCGAAGAGGCGACGACCACGACCACCGCTGCTGCCCGGCACCGCCACCACGACCACCACGACCGCTGCGACCACCACGACGACCACCACGACCGCGACCACCACAACTGCCACTGCTACCATTAGACCCACTGCTAGCACTCCTACCACCTACTACCGCCACTACCACTGCCACCTCTACCACCGCTACCACGGCTACCACTTCAGAGACTTGTTTATCATCATTTTCACCATTGCAGTCTTTAGCATCATCGTTGCCACAGCCTCGGTGTCCTCCTCCTCCTCCTCCTCTTCCTCTCCTTCCTCCTCCTCTCATCGTATTCTTTCTCACTGGCTTCCTTCTCCTTATTACCATGATGCTCGTCGTCATCGCCGTCATGTTAGTGATTGCGGTGGGCAAAAGTGTAGTGATGTCGATGATACTGGCGCCGCTGATGGAGATGATAATTATAATTGTAATCGAGGCTTCTGAGTATGGTGTGGATGGTTATGATGGTGATTATGATCATACGTATGGACATGGTGTTTACCACGAGCACGAAAAACATGTCAAGAAGGAGGGGAAGAGCAACCCATGAAGCATGTATCTATGATGAAATGTAGGTGAACACACGGGTCACTAGTTTGAAGAACGAATCATGGCCGAATGCTTCAGTGGAGCTCGGGTTGTTTTTACCGACCTTTGGGCCAAGAAGCCAGTGGTTTGCAGGTTCAACGCCCGCAAGACCAAGAAGAAGAAGTCTTTGAGGTGGGGAAGACAAGTTCCTTTTTCTCCAAAGATTCCACCGCTTTGCATAGCCCTAGAAGACGCTAGCTAAACCCTGAGGTCATGCGGTCGGATGAGACTCGACCCACGCCAGCGGACGAGCCTATCGAGGCGATCAGAACAGCTTTGAACATCCCCAGCGCTGCTTTAAGTCAAGCCCTGAACCCTAAACCGAAACATCCTGAGCCTTAGTTCTCAAAGCCTAAGCGCTGACGAGTCGCCGCTGGGTCGTTTTCGTGAAGGGTGTGAAGTTTGCCTGTGGGGGCTCGACTGAAGGGTTGAAGGGCTTGCCTTGTGGTTTAGGGTTTAGGGTTTAGGGTTTAGGGTTTAGGGTTTAGGGTTTAGGGTTTAGGGTTTAGGGTTTAGGGTTTAGGGTTTAGGGTTTAGGGTACTGCTGGCTGGCATGTAGCGTGTGCGGGCCTTTTCCCCTCGGCGATTGGGAAGAAAAGGGATTCAAAAGAAGCAGCCGCTAAGTCTTTAAAGCTCTTCAACCCCCGACAATCCGCGGACATCCATCTCCGAGGAGCTGCACTCCGATTCGGAGGAGGAGCTACTTGAGGTGGCAAGAGGGTTCGGGGTTCAGGGTTTGGTGTTGAAGGTTTAGGGTTTAGGGTTTGGGATTTAAAGGGTTTCGGGTTTAGGGGGTTGAGGGTTGAGGGTTAAGGTAGGGGGTTTCGGGTTTAGGGCGTTGAGGCTTTAGGGTTGAAGGGTTGAGGGTCTGGAGAAGGAATTTCCGGTTTACGGGCTTAGCGTTCAGGCTTGCGGTTTAGAAGTTTAGAGTTTAGGGCAAATGGAGGGTTGAAGACTCAGGCAGAGTCCTGTAACCGAACCCTGTCAAACATCCAAACTCCCTTTTTGTGGTTTTCGTGAGGCCGAAGACTCGGCCGAGATGCGACCAGAGGCGGAGGACCACCTGTAATGATGCTTGATATCAGCACGTCTACTAGTAGCAGTAGTAAGAGTAGAAGCACCACTCGAAAGGTCTAGAGCGATTGAAGCACAGGAGCAAACCGAGCGAAGGGGACTGGAGCATTAGAGACAGGAGCAAACCCGTCGAAACGAACAAGCGCATTCTGAAAGGAACGAGCAAATCGTTGGAATGTTAGAATCAGGAACAAACCTGCCAAAGGGATTCGAGCATTTGAGACAAACGGAGCAAGCCGATCTCAACTGACTGGAGCATTCCCGAATGAGAAGCATGCCTCCAGAAAGGGGCCAGAGCACTCGAGAAGGAGGCGCCCAGCAGTTCGAAAGGGACTAGATCATTTGGGAGTTTCCCAAAATTGGGGGTACCTTATTTTGGGGTCCTTAGAATAAGGATCCTACTATTGAGGGTCCTGTATTGGGGTAGCACATTTTCGGAAACTCCCCTTTGAGAAAAGGCATCTGCCGATCGAAGGGCTCTAGAGTGCTTGAGAAAAGAGAGCAAACCGCTCGAGAGGCGCTAGAGCATTTGAAAGGGACTAGAGCATTTGGGAGTTTCCGAACATAGGGGACCCTAATATAGTACCCTAAGTAGTAGGATCCTTATACCAAGGACCCCCCAAATAAGGTACCCCTAATTTTCGGAAACTCCCATTTGTTGGCAAAAGGACCAACACTTTCGAAAGAGACTAGAGCATGTGAGAAGAAGGAGCAAACTGCTGTGAGACCAAAGAGCCCGCCACACGCAGCAGGGACTAGATCATGTGAGAAGCAGGCGTGTCCGACTGCTCGAAAGCTCGAAGAGGGCCTCGAGCAGTTGAGAAGCTAAACAAATCGGGGCCACGAGCCCGAAAGGGACTAGAGAGCTTGGGAAAAAGGAGCAAGCCTCCAGGACAGAAGAAGAAGGAGCAGACTGCTGAAAGACTAGAGCGATGGAGGAACACGAGCAAATTCTCAAGAAAGAGTTTGAGAGAAAGGCGCACACCGCTTCGAAAAGGGATGAGAACTTGAGGAACAAGAGCACACCGTTCGAAAGGGGCTTTGAAATTTCAGAAGAAACGGAGCACACCCTTCGAAAAGGGACATAAAGGGACTCGGGCATCTGAGAAAATGTAGCTGACCGCTCGGGGTCTGAGAAAGAGGAGCTGAGAAGGAACAAACCGCTCGGAAGGGAGAAGCATTATTTTGTTTTTATTCTTTTTATTTTTCATTTTCTTTATCAAAATTTGATGGTTCTTTTGTAAAAGAAAAAGAGCATGTGCGAGCAAGGAGCCCAGCAAACGAAGCCCGAAGGCACGGAGCATGAGAAGCAGGAGCATGGAGCTGCTTGAGAGGACAAGAGGAGCCAGCCGCTCGGAGGGGACGAGAGCAGGTGAGAGAAATAACAAATAGCCCGAAAATCGACTTGGGAAGAAGGAGCCAGGCGCTCGAAAGGGACTAGAGAACTGGGCTAACCAGCCGCTCGAAAGCACCTTTTCTGGAGCTCGGAGGAGCTCAATGCCGAGTCGGAGGAAGAGCTTGTTGAGGCGCTCGAGAGTTTGACGTCGGGGTTTCGCGAAGTTAGTGTTCATGGGCTTCATCGCATTTGTTCGGGAGGAATTCGGTTTGGGCTTGAAGGGTTGGGGTTTTCGGGCCCAGGAGGTCAAGGGTGAGGGGTTTAGGGTTTTAGGGTGTGAGACTCTGGGGTTTCGGATTTTCAGGAATCACAGCGGGTTGGTTTACAGGTTTGGGATTTGCTGTTCAAGGCTCTGCAGTTTTGCGGTATGTGGTTTGTAGTCGAGTGGTGCAGGGGTGAAAGCATCTTGTAGCAAGATGAGGCCGTGTGCATCGTGTTGTGTCGAGTAGATGTTAAGGCCTGAACATAGAAAGCCTTCCACTCCATATCATGCCACATGGTCTGAGGCGGCCGAGTTGTCCAAAACCTTAATCAAACCCAAACCCAAAGCCCAAGAACCCGACAATCAACGCAGAGTATACCTCACCAAAGAGCGTAGAAAGCCCCAGAAGCCTAGCTTAAGTAAGCTGGCCCTTTATCGATATATTCAAACCCTCACAACCCTGCTCGAATTTATGAAAAGCCATCGAAAAACTTTATAAATCCTTGCAGTACGATCGCAACCCAAAACCAAAAACACCGAAACCCTGCCCTAAACCCAAAACCCCAACTCCCGCCCAAAAATAATCGAAAACCCTAATCCCTGAACCACCAAAAAAATCCAAAACCCTAATCCTTGAACCGTGGCAAAAGCGAGGTGAGAGGCTCCGAGGAGCGCGCCGAGGCGAAGGACGAGGTTCTCGAGGCGAGGGTCTCCCGGGAAGTCTACTGGGCTTCAGAGTTTAGGGATTAAGGGTTTAGGGTTTAGGGGTTTAGGGGTTTGGGTTTAGGGGTTTAGGGTTTAGGGTTTAGGATTTAGGGTTTAGGGTTTAGGGGTTTAGGGGTTTAGGGTGTTGCAGGGTTTTGTAAGGTTTTACGGTTCAGGGTTTAGGGTTTAGGATTTAGGGTTTTTGGTTCGAGTGTTTCAAGGAGTCATTGTAGGGTGTTGTGGTCGGTCCCGATGGGGTTCAAGGTCTTGTGTTGACGGGGGCCTTAATTATTGTCGTTTGGGTTGTTAGGGGGCTTTGCGCGAGAGGCGCCTTACTAACTGTGCTCTGCGACAAGGGCTGGAATAGGGTTTTGATCGGGTTACGTAGGTTGGAAATAGCGTTTCGGCAGTTTCATCTGTCGCCATTGGGTGTTATGAGGTTCCATGATGGGGCGCTCAATTTACATAACAAGGTTCTGGGGAAAAGTGTAGTATAGTATACAGCAGTTCGAGAGGGACGGGCGCAAACTATTCGGACCTTTCTGCCCTAAACCCCTAAACCCTAAAGAAGCCGGACCCCATTGTGAGGAGTCCCAAAACCGACCCTAGTTTTGTAACTCCGGTCAGTGCGAAGTTCATAATAAGAACCCCTACCATACACCCCAAAACCCTAAGTTGCCGGAGCTGCAGGAATCCTTCAGTTTACCATAGAGCTAAAAAAGACTAGGAATAGTATTCCTTTTCATTTCGCAGACCATCTAGAAGGCTAAGGCTTCATATGGGGTGGTTGTCAAAATTATGGTACCTTTTTGGGTCCCTATTATAATACGGGACCTATGATTTAGGTACCCAAAAAGGGACCACAATTTTGACAACCACCCATATCATCTCCAGGCTGTTGAGGTGGGACTCAGAGAGCAAAGGCTGCATCGAGGGCACAAGTGGCTGATTCTGTTGATGCTAAAAATCCTGCATTACCTTAAGGGCCCTAAACTATGGGAATTATGGTAGATATTCCTTACTATGGTATATTCCTTATTATGGTATATTCCTTATTATGGTATATTCCTTATTATTGTATATTCCTTATTATGGTATATTCCTTATTATGGGTACTGCAGGATTTCTATCATCAACCCTTTTGCCAGGCTCCGAGTTCCGAGGAGAAAGCTGAGCCCAAGGACGGGGTGATGGAGGCTTGCGGCTTGCAATGCAGAGCCAAACATTTTTTTTTTGGGGGGGGGAATTTTTGTTTGCTAAACATATTGGGGAAAAAATATTTTTTGCTAAACATATTGGGGGGAAGAATATTTTCCACGACATGTTTAGTAAACATATTTTTCCCCAATATGTTTAGTACATGTTCGCATTTGGCCAGCTGTTCGCATGTTGCGAGGCCGAAAGCTCCGAAGAGCAAGCAGAGACCAAGGAAGAGGCTATGGAGGTGTGGGCATTGCAGCACAACATCTGCTGTTGATGCATGGTGCCGGCGGTTCGAATGTTGCGAGGTCGAGGGCTCCGAAGAGCGAGCCGAGTCCAAGGACGAGGTTATGGAGGTGTGGCGATAATGTGAAATCCCGGTCTGATGCGTGGTGCCAGCCGTGATAGTTTTGCGAGGTCGAGGGCTCCGAAGAGCAAGCCGAGATGGAGGAGGAGGCATTGGAGGTGTGGGGATTGCATAGCACAAACTTGCTTTGGTGACAGCTGTTTGCATTTTGCGAGGCCGAGAGCTCCGAAGAGCAAGCCGATACGGAGGACGAGCTTATGGAGGTGGGGGGATTGCAGTGCAAAAGCCCATCGTTGACGCATGGTTCCAGCTATTATTCGCATTTTGCGAGGTCGAGGGCCCCGATCAGCATGCCGAGAACAGGGACGAGGTCTTGGAGGTGTCGCGATTGTAGCCCAAAAACCTGCATGGTGCCAGCTCTTCTTTCATTGCGAGGTCGACGGCTCTGAAGATCAAGGCTCAGGCAAGGACGAGCTTATGGAGGTGTGGGGGTTGCATTGCAAAATCGGCTTTGATCCATTGTGCCAGCTGTTCGCATTTTGAGAGGCCGAGGGCTCCGAAGAGCGAGCCGAGTCCACGGACGAGATTATGGAGGTGTGACGGTTGCAGTGCGACAGCACGCATGGTGGCGATCAGATTTTCGTGAGTAGGTGGAGGGCTCCGAAGAGCAAGCAGGAACCAAGGACGATCTTATGGAGGCTTGGGGATGACCCTGCCAATTCCGGTCTTGATGCATCGTGCCAGCTATTGCCATTCTTGCGAGGTCGAGGCTTCCGAAGAGCGAACCCAGTCCAAGGACGATCTCATGGAGGTTTTGCTGCTGCAGTGCAAAAGCAGGCATCACACCAGCTGTTTGCGCGAGGTCGAGGGCTCCGAAGAGCGAGCCGAGACCAGGGACGAGGAATTGGAGGTGTGGGGTTTGCAGCAGAAATCTGCATTGATGCACGGCGCTAGATGTTTTGATTTCGCAAGGTTCTGCAGTCTGAAGTCCAGGCGGACAGCACCGACGAGGTAGCCGATGCAGGGATCATCGTGCCGCCGTAAACTCAAAACTCGACACCCGAACCCGAAACCCCATGAAACCTCGCATTCCCCGTGGAAGACCCACAAAAACCTAGTACATACCCTTCCAAGAACGCATTGTTAGACATTTAAAAATCCACTACAAACACTCCTAAACCCTCAACCCTAAACCCTGAAAATTCATACAGACTTTCGAACACCCTTATATAGCCTTTTTTAATAGCACCAAACATGGCAGAGCCGGTATACTCTGGAGTCAGCGACGGGTTTCGTCCCAGTCGACCCCTCGGCTGAACAAAAGAGAAGACCGTCGGCGCCACTTTACAACCCCCCCTGAACCCTAGACCCTAAATTCTAAACCCTAGACCCTAAACCCTAAACCCTGCCCAGCAAAACAAAAAGGGGATCAAAAACAACGAACTAAACCCTAAACCTTAGCCTTAGCCTTTTTTGCTGCGAGGTGCCAGGCTCCCAGGATCTACCAGCCGAGACCCAGGAGCTGGTTGCCGAGGTCAATCCCTTGAGAGCCATGAAGGTTTAGGGTTTCTGACTATTCGTTAAGGCCCCTGCGGTCTATAATTCCTAATCCCGAGCTTGTAGGGTGTAAGAGTGTGTGTTTCCGACGTGTGTGTGTGTGTGTGTTTTTTTCGACAGGGTTTCGGAAAGCTTTGTATCCTTAATCCCAACCCCCAGAATCCCCAAACCCGGTTTTGGCAAGTTTGGAGTCGGTTCGAGGATGAGTGCGGGAACGTGGGGAGCAGCGGGTTGCTGAAAGGTCTCAGAGACTCGGAGTTTGCATTTCAGCGTGAAAGAGCTCAGCCCACAACCCAAACCCTAAATTATGAACAACGCTTTAGGATGATTTAGGGTTTAAGGATCAGACGTTTAGAGTTTAGGGACCCTAAACCCACTAAGCCCTAAATCCCGGAGCATAAGCACCTCAACTCTGAATCCTAAATCCTCCAGGAACCCTTGCTGAAAGCTTGTAGACCCCCTGGAGAACCCTGCTGGAAGAGCGCCGTGTTACTTTCCATTCTTAATAATGTACGAAACACAGGTCCTGGTTGTAGTACGATTGTCAGAGTAGCGCCGGCCTGAAACGATTGTAAACGCAGTACATACTAGTTTTTTGGGCATGCTCGCACACGGCCTCAACGCCCGTGACACTGACTCTTGTGCGAGAAATCAAAGATGCTGTAGAAACTGGCGAAACGCTGTAAATTCCCGTGGTTTGGGCATGCTCGCCCAAGGCAGGCATGAATGCTTGTGACTGACCATGCGTCGAGGTCGACCATCCTTTTGCAGTATGTTGTATAAAGTCGCACAACCCCTGTACAGTACCTGCCAGTGTTCTGGGCATGGTCGCCGGTGGAGCCGACGTCATTATCCCCCTCCCCCCCAACCCCACCCCACACGAAAACCCCAGGAAAGTAACACGGCGCCCTATACGCTTTCTTTCCAGAAGCTCCTGAAAAGCCCTCAGAAGAACCCAACATATTATAGGGGCTTTGGCAACTAAAATAAGGTTTTGGCGCCCATTATACTATAACCAAATCAAGGAGAAGGATCCCCCTCAATACTGTTGATGGACAAAATCCTGCGTTACCCATTATAAGGAATATACCATAGTTCCCATAGTTCAGAGTCCTTAAAGTCATGCAGGATTTTGTCCATCAACAGTAGTATTGGTAACTATCTAGGCCGCGAAAAGAAAAACCTGCTCAAAGGCTTCTTCGTTGGAGCTCGAGACCCCCGGCGCCTTTGGCGGAGGTGGCCGAATGCCAGTCGACGTGTGTTGCTCCACGGGTTGGCATAAACCCGCCCTCAACCCTAAATCCCCAACCCCTTACCGTAAAAATTGAATCCGAAATCCCAAGCCTAGACTATACCCTAAAGCCCGACAAGCCTAGACTATACCCTAAAGCCCTAAAAGCTTAGACTATACCCTAAAGCCCGAAACACAAAGCTTAGCCAGGGAAGACACCCAAGCCCCCCGACAAGCCCGGAACATGATGCTTGCCGTCTTTCGGCAGCACCACAGCCCAGCTAGGATTTCGGGTGTAGGTCAGAAGGGGCCCCCACCCTGTAATAGTGACTATAAGGGTTATATTGGGGCCCAATTATATTCCAATTATACCACTGTTACAGGGTGGGGGCCCCTTCTAAGGTGTAGGGTTTAGGGTTAAAACTGAGACACAACAAGGGTCGCAAGATCAGAATGAACAATGGTGTTGAATAACCAGGGAAGGAATGCGCATATCGATCCGAGAATCCAAAGTCGAACACTTTCCGACATTTATGAAGCTAGATGTATACAGTTTATATGTATACCGTTACCCAGCTTCGACCTATAGATTCCTCACGCGATGTTGGTTGGTCGATGCCCTTTGGCATGAAGCCACCGCTAAAAGCCATGAAATCCCCGAAGCGGACAACCCTACGTAGAGGCTTGAGGCTTTGGGCTTTCAAGGTTTGGGGTTTGGGGGAAACTGGCGCACCGAAGTTTTCAACCAACTCCTCTAAACACCCATGTCCTAGTTCCGCTGGGCCGGCGCAGCCTAAACCCGCACCCGTGCACACCCCTCAGCCTCCCTCCGTCTGTAGTTCGCGCTTTCCTGTTTCGAAGTTCGAGTACTTCGCCCCTTATTACACCATTAACAGCACCCTGAACCTTTCTTTTAGCACCCTTCAAATCCTACCAAAACCCCTGAAGGAGCCTTGACTCCTCAGGCCTAAGCCCTAAACCCCAAACATCCGCACCAGACGTGCTGGCTCCGGCCGGAGGCGATCTCAAGGAGGCTCTGTTTAGAGTTTAGGGTTTGAGGGTTTTAGGGTTCTGTTAAACAACGCTGGCCCTATGAAGGTTGCCTCGTTGAGTTCTTTCCTGTGCAACTACTACGATCTGACTGGTGTTGTTCTATCCTAGTACAATCAGTCTCCCAGTACGAGTAGCAGTAGTCGTACTTTGCAGTCGTCGTCGTCGTAGTAGTAGTAGTAGTAGCAGGAGTAGTAGCAGTAGTAGTAATAATACTAAAAATAAATGTGCAAATACATATATATATAGATAGATATATAGATATATATATATATATATATATATTAGGAGGAGGAGGAGGAGGAGGAGGAGGATGGCGATGAGTATGGTAACTGGTGGGGGTTCGAGGGCATGCAGGGCTTGGGTTTTGGGGGTGTGTAGGGTTTGGGATCGAAGGTTTCTTTTCAAACAAGAGCCTTCTTTCTAAGGGCTCGTGATTATATGGAACCTCCAAGGCAGTTTGGATTGCGTGAAACCCAACTGCATTCCAAGACGAGTTGCTTTCAGCACATGTCTATGTAAATGTTCCCGTCCGATCCTGAATCCCTGTGTTCGAAAAGCAGTTAGGGTTTAGGGTTTAGGGTTTAGGGTTTTCCTTTACAGGAAGCGTGAGACCCCAACACTCCCCTATGAGGCAGTATCCTTGAAGTCATAATCACAAGCCAGTGCGCCCTACGCAGAATCACCGAAGCCCCTTTGAAATTGGTGGAAGCATGCAGCCGGGGCTTGTTTCGAAGTCTGAAAGCACTTGACGATCCCCATACAAATCCGCAAAACCGCCTTTGCACAAGAGTTTCGGGCTCAGGTTTCAGGGTTTCGGGCTTTGGGTTTAGGGTTTTAGGGCTTAGGGTTTAGGAACCCTAAACCCTAATTACATTGGTTTTGGGTGGCTCAGGGTCTTCGCAGCCGCCTTCGCGCCTTCTTGGATCAGCGGAGGCCAGGGTGCTCTTTGGGCCCCTGAGAGGGGGCTCTTGTTCTGGCTGAAGAGGGGGTGCCGTAAGGGACGGAGGTTCAAAACCTAAACCCTAAACCCTAATCTTCACTGTTCCTAGTCATTGAGGACCAGCTCGTAGGCTTCAGGGCTGATGGTTGTTGGGTTTAGGGTTTAGGGTTTAGGGTTTAGGGTTTAGGGTTTAGGATTTCGGGTTTAGGGTTTAGGATTTCGGGCTGAAGGTAAACCCTTAAGCTCCCTACCTCCAGAAGTCCGCGCCCCATGCCAGGCAAGAGAAGGAGAAGTTCCGGGATCTCGGCCTCGTCGAGGCAACTGTAGCGGAATACATTGGTAATAGGGTTTATGGTATAAATCCTGCATAACCCAGCATAACCCAGAAAGGGAATAGACCACAACTCCCATGTCTAGGGTCATTCATGTACTGCGGGGTTTACATCATCAACCGTAGCATGGGATTTTGGGGTTTGGGGTTCAGGGTTTCTTGGGGTTCTTCATCATATTATTATCAAAGTAGTAGATCGATATTATTAACCTGGGTACCCTTTTGTAGGGGGTCTGGATGATTGGTGGGCGTATCCATTTCGGGGAGGAGGAGGTGTAGGAGGTGTAGGAGGTGTAGCAGGAGTAGGAGTGAGTAGGAGTGGGAGGAGTAGGAGGTGTAGGAGGGGGAGGAGTGATGAGCAGGAGTAGGAGCAGTTGTAGCAGCAGCGTGTTGCAATCATAGAGGCACCGGACGTGGACCAGGAAGAGCTGCGCCGAGCATTGCCGATGCCTCGGATTCGAACATCGGGTTTGCAGTGTTCTACAGGGTTCTATGGCAGCTTTTTCCATCCGATCGTTTCAATGCGCGGTTCGTTTCTGCTTTCCACGCCATGGATCGTGCTTACCCACACTTCTACGGCTCGATGGCAATTCGGTTTTGTACATGAGCCAAGGGGGCTCTCATGTTGCTAGAGAAAGACCCGAGGAAGTCACAAGCTGCAGGCACAGGGGTCGGGGGTCCCCCCGACTCGGTCCTCAGATCTCATGCTGTTTTCGGGTCGAACTTGGTCCCAAGACGAGGGCACAGAGCTGTCCGTCAGCCTGCGCCCTGTCTCGAAGGCCAGAATACAGCACCTCTTTCAAAAGCCCCAAACCTGAAGCCCTAGAGAGTCTTGAGCCCCAAGCAAGGCCGAAACCCGGCCGACCTCGTTCTGCAGCCCCTCAAAGCCACTAACCTAGACCCAGAGAGCCCGCAATATGCCCTGATAAACAGTTCCCGTTTGAAGATAAGAACACACGCAGTTTGCTTTGAGGAATATTCGCCCTTTAAAGGCATAAAGGTAGGCTCCACTGCAAGACCCTGCGCTCTGAAGCTTCGCGCACAATGGGGGATGTCGATGTGATCGTGCTTGGCGCTGGGCTGAGTGGCATTTTCCTTGCCCACAGCTTGCAGTCGGAAGGCTGCAGGAGCCCAGGGTTTTACGAAAGTTGGAATATGGTTTCAGGGTAGGATACCCTATAATTTACCAAAAAGGGTTTAGGATAATCATATTCCAACTTTCTGGCTTTTACCTTAGGGTGTTTGGGACTGCCGCCACCACAAGCCACTACTCCCAGCGACAAAAAACTAAAGGATTGATGCTGCTACTACTACTGCTGCCGCTGCTGCTGCTACGATATGAACTACTGGTTGTTGGAACTGTTGGGAGGAGGACGGAGGAGGAGGAGGAGAAGAAGTATAGTATTCAGCAGCAGCAGCAGCAGCAGCAGTAGTACAAGTAGGGGAAGCTGTGAAGATGCTTGCCGCTCCCACAGGAAGGCCTCATAGTGATGGTCCCGGCACTGCAAGCGATGGTGAGACTATCATAACAGCCAAGGCCATGTTGCCAGCGTTGACGTTCATAAGGACAATGGTAATGTTTGCAAAACGACTTATCGCGCCATTAACCACTAACTTTGTCAGTGCTACTTTGAGACTCCGGCGGTTTTTTGATGGAAATCGGATATCCCAACATACATCACGGAACCCTAACCCCTAAACCCTGTAAGCAGTACGAGCTTCTCAGATCCCCCAAACATCAGTGGAGGGGATCCAGGAGCTTCGTCGTCCTAGACCGGCGGAAGGGCATCGGTGGCATGTGGGTACCTTGGCTCCAGTTGGCCAAGGCCTCCTTGCCATGGCTTTGAGCAGGTCCTTATACCTGACCTTTGGTGAGTAGGGAACGGAGGAATGGGGTACAGTTATAACTACTATTACTACCATTCCTCCATTCCCTACTAACCAAAGATAAGTATACTCGAAAATGGGAGCTTTCTGCTTGGTGGTGCTTGAGGGTCGCATAGAAGAGACCCTGACAGCAGCCTTGTGGCCAGTATAGTTGCAATAGTTGTAGCTCTCGTGTTGATCGTTTTACCCTTATCGTAACATAGAACAACTCCGATAGAGCCCTGCAGAGCACGTATATGAAACCTATAAATAAAGCCGCCTACAACAAAACTTCATAGCCCGCACACGCACACGCACACAAAAGCCCTCAATCTGAGGCAGAGCTGAAGTTCCCCGGCCTTCGCACTGACTCGCCCATGGGGCTCTACGCCTACGCCTTCCATCCCTCGGCGACCACGACGCGGATGATGCCGACCAGGGAGGATTCCGGCTCAGGGTTCAGGGTTTTTCAGAGGAGTCGGGTTAAATTATGTAGGGACCGCACATTTTAGTGTGCTTTTGGCATAATCTTGTGTTGATAATGACGGCGATGATGATTCTTAGGATTACTGCAATCACGACGATAACCCTCGAAGGAGCTTCTGGAGTACTTTCAGGAGGTGGTGGATGAGCATCGGCTGGCCCAGTACATGCGCTTTGAGCAGCATGTCCGGCGAGCAGAGTTCGACTCGAGGAAGGCTCAGAGTTGATAGGGTGTAGGGTGATTTTTGTGGGGGGTTAGGGATGTTCAGGGTCTCGGAGCTTGGCAGGTAGGATTTTTTGGGGGGTCTTAGAGCTTTGGAGTTCTAGCTCGCCGCAGAGCTCCGTACACGTACGCCTGGGCACCTGAAAACCTGCACCCCTGAACCCCAGATGTCAGGCACGATGGACCCTGACGACGGCCACCGGAGCGTCTTGGACATGCCGGCACGTGATGAACTGCACCGGTACCTCGGCTAGTCCGACATCGCTGCTGCTCTCGCCTGGTGGAGTTGGGCCTCTGACCCTAAACCCTAAACCCTGCAAGGGCTGCAGATGGGTGGAGGAGGGCTGGGTCTCGAGGGTTTGAGGGTTTCGGGGTTCAGAGTTTAGAAATTCGGGAGGCTTCCAGTTCGAAGTGGGCCCAGGATACTTCGACCTCTTCGATCCCTACATCCCAGAGATCCCGGGTATGGCAGACTTTGCAGGGAAGCTGGTGCACACGCATTCCTGGCCGGAGGACTGGCGAAGGGTGGAGGGCTTAGGCCCAAAAGTTTGGGTTTTCAAGTGAGTTTCCCAGAGGGTCCAAGTACCCAAATAGTACCCTAAATAGTAGGATCCTTATTATAAGGACCCCAAAATAAGGTAGGGTTTATAGGTCCCAAAATCCATACTCTGAATGGTTTTTGGACCTTGAAACCCTACTATTTGGAAAAACTTGGACCCTTAGGGTTTCGGGTCCAACGAAAAAAAGGGGCAGTCGGCAAGAGAAGAGGATATATAGTCAAAGTCGAGGATTTTAAGACTTTAGCAGATTAAACCCTAAACCCTAAACCCTAAACCCCAAACCCTAAACGCATTAGCAATCTAGGGTGTAGGGTTTCAAAGGGTAGACCGTCGCGCTTGAGGGCTAGAGCTCAGGGTTGGAGCCGAGGGTTCCCTGCCCCGCCAAGACTGGACAAACACTGCACTGTATCCGGAGATTATGACGGTTTTCAGAAAACTAGGGAGCTTTTGCAAAGGAGTGTTTTCATAACGGATTCCTAAGGCGTTTGTGGGAATTCTTGACGTTACCGGCACTTGAAGGGTCCCGGAGCCCCAAAAGAGTTCCTCAAAGGGCTCCTTTAAACGTTCCCCTAAGGGTTCCTGCAGGGTTCCTGCATGAGTTGACCCGTGCTCGTAAAAAAACCCTAAACCCTAAACCCTAAACCCAGGACATGAGTCTCGAAGGCAAGCGCGTCATCCTCGTGGGCAGCGGGGCCTCTGCAGTGGCTGGGCTTTTTCTCGGGAGTGTCGGCCCCTGATTCACTAGGCCCTTTCAGTTTAACAAGATGGTTATTGTATACAGATCCGAACCAAAGGCATCTGGCAAGAGAAGGCCTTTACATGTAAAGGGCCTTTAAAGAAAGGAGGCTGTATACTCAGAGTCGATGTCATTCGGTTCGTCTCTTGTTGGGGCCGACCTTGTCTTCTGCGCCCAGCCAGGTCACAGCTGCACCTGCCTTGGCGGAGCGGTCCCAAAGCGTAGTGATGCTGCAGCGCTCTCCGAGCTATATCAAGTCGGCACCTCTGCGTCCCTGTGCACTCAACGAGAATCACACCACCACATTTGCAGTTTTGATTTTGATGTTTTTTCGTTTCAACTGCCGTGGTAGCTTCCTTGTGGCTACTACATGTGCATCAGCGAGGAAGTTGCTTGATTCGAGCATGAGGTCATGCGCCGTGGTCTGCGTGGGCCATCGCTGCCTGGTTGGTGAAAGCCGGAGGCGTATTCCGATGGCTGGGGCGGTGCCTGCTACCCAGCACAACCGTAAACTGCAAGCCCCAAACACCAAACCCTAAACACCAAACCCTAAACCCTACACCCTAAGCCCCTAAACCCTGTGAGGAAGGATCGAGCGGACGGAAAAAGGCGTTAAAAAAAATAAAAAAAACCCTAAACCCTAGAGCCAAAGCCCCTAAGACCCCCAACTAAACCCCAAGCCATTCCAAGTACTTGGCCAGCCCGGCGTTCTCAGACGAACCTCGCTAAACTACTGTTGATGATATAAATCATGCATTACCTTAAGGATCCTAAACTATGGGACTTATGGTTTCTTCCTGATTATGGGAAATGCAGGATTTGTATCATCAGCCGTAGTGAAGCCATCAGGCTTAGAAGCCTTGTTCCCACGTTTTTAGCAGCCCTTGACAGGAGCCCAGGCTAAACCCTAAACCCTAAACCCTAAACCCTAAACCCTCAACCCTCAAACCCCCAAAGGCCTTGGCCTCCAACCCCGCACCCCGGAACCCTAAGTTTCCATTCCTAGTCCCTTACCTTTTGGTTAGTAGGGAATGGAAGAATGGTAGTAATAATAGTTCTATGGTAGTAATATGATAGTAATATGGTAGTATTATGGTAGTAGTAGTAGTAGTAGTAGTAGTAGTAGTAGTAGTAGTAGTAGTAGTAGTAGTAGTAGTAGTTATAACTGTACCCCATTCCTCCACTCCCTACTAACCGAAGGTAAGGTCCTCCGAACAACAAGCAAACCTAATCCCGATGAGAAACCGATTGAAAGACAGAATCAAAACTCTGAAGGTCTGAGGCCTATGCCTTAAACCCGAAGCCCTAAATTGTAACCCTGGAAGCCCAAAGCCCTAAAACCCCAAACCCCAAGCCCTAAACCCTAAACCTGCATCCCGATCCAAGATTTTCGCTGATCTTCCGGCGCTTGCGCCGCGAAGCCCTCGGGGAGGCCAAGGCCTACAACGAGAAGCGGCTCGCTTGGAGCGCCGGCTGCCCGGAGGCGCCCAGGAAAAGGTTCTGAGTTAGTTGTAAAGAGGGGGGGGGGTGTTGGGCGGTGTACGGGGTTTTGGATTACATGGGTTGACAAGGGCTTCAGAAGTGACTTGTGACGGGTTCTAGAGAAGAGTTTGGAAGTTGAAAGACTTCCGACGATCCTTAAGTATGGATTTAGGTTTCGAGGGTTTCGGGTTTTACAGTTTGGAGTCCTTTCTCGAGGGATATTGGAGTCGATGGGAAACGTACCACCAAGTCTTCGAATCCTTAAGTTTAGGGTTCCCTGTTCTTAGGGGTACTTAGAAATATTTTGAAATTTGGGTTATAATCCCTAAGAAACAGCTAAAATTGTAATTGTTGCTAGGGTTCTAAGTTCAGTATAGTAAACCCGAAACCGTGGATTCTGTGGTTTCAGAGTTGACCTGGGGACCCGGTGTTGAGATTGTGTGGAAGTTGCGGTGTGCAGCATAGTGCAAACCGTGCCGTTGCAGGCCCTAGACTTAGGGACCCACAAGGACAACGTAGGGGTACTTAGAAATAATTTTTAATTTTTGGTTATTATAATCCCTAAGAAACAGCTGAAATTATATTTTTTGCTAGGGTTCCAAGTTCAGTATAGACAAAAGCATAAGAACTTTATAGGCATCCTTATTTTTGCTTATGTGCATTTCTGGGGCCCTATAGACCCTAAACCCTGAAGCCTGATAATCGCTCAACCAAACCGCCTCAAACAGCTTCTTTCTTCAGCATACGAGCCTTGGCGAGGCACTCGCAGCCCGCTCGCATGAGAGTCGTGCCGCCGTGGATGCCGTCACCGCCCGCCTCCCTGAGTTGCGGCGCCACTTCACTCCTTCCTACCAGGCCCGGTTAGGGTTACCCCAAGTAAGCCGAACGCCCCTGAACCCTAACCTGAAGCCCTAGACCCTAAGCACCTGAACGGGTTAGGGTTAAGGGTTTAGAGGTGTTGGGTTTTTTCATCGAATTCGCTAGCAAGCGAACCCATCCTCTGACCAAAGAGCCCGTATGTCAATCGTTGTGGTCAGCTCAAGACTCTGTGGTTCAGGGTCCAGCTCAGGGTTAGGGATTGGAGTTATGTCGCTAACGCCTCATGAGTTCGCACAGGATGCTGTTCTAAGGCTAAGCATATCCCAACACCATAATTGGCTGCACATTTGGAAGGGACCGCCCGAAGGTTTTCGAGCAGAGGACGTGCTTTGCTCCCGGCGATGAGTTCTTCATGGCCATTCAGCGAGGTCGCCTCAGCATCGTCACTGCGCACCCTGCTGGAGTCTGCATGCCTTTTTTGAGTGATCAGGTTTTAACCCCCAGTTTCTCAAGTCTACTAACCATTGATATTGGGGGAGCTAAGGAGCCAGGGATCATGATAATTCCTATGAAATAAGGAGCTAAAGAGCCAAGGGAACCCCCAAAACCACTGGCTAGTCTACCGCCTGCCCCCTCCCTAAACCCTAAACCCTAAACCCTAAACCTTAAACCCTAAACCCTAACCCCAAAACCCTAAAACCCCAAAACCCGAAGGCACATCGACCGCTTCACTCGGACGGGCATTCGCCTGCAGCGGCTCTCGGAAACCGAGAGCCGGCTGGCAGAGAGCTGCGGGGAGCCGGAGACGCCGGAACACTTGGAGGTCGTCTTCATAATATGGTTTAATATGGGGGGCCTTAAGAATTGGAGTAGGGTTCCTTTTAAAAGGCTCTATAAGGACTACTATTAGGGTGATGATAATCATAAGGGCGTAATATATAGGGGCCTTGATAATTAGAGTAGGGTTTCGGGTAATCGGATACTATAAATTTAAGAAGGAGCCCCGACATAGTATTGGTAGTTGTTTGGGCCCGTAAATTAGATTGTTGGACGCTTCAGAAGGCTATATCAAGTGCTCTAGGCCCTAAGCTGTACAGGTCTTTACAGGTTTCGTGGACTTTTATTCGAGGGGGTTTGCAGACCCTTTGATCAATCAACTCCCTTTGGCCCAGGGCCCTACTCTTGGAAACCCGGTTATAACCCGTGTTTGGGGCAAGTATATCACAAGACCCTCTTGTAACTGTTGAGCCCCGTTCAATTACACGAAGGATTTGGGGCTTATCATCATCATGATCTTTGTTGGGCTACCTAGAGTGTTTCGAGATGTCTTTTGCGTGGAATCAAACCAGAAAGTGCGGCTGCAACACTCGTCAGATCCCTAGACCCCAAACCCTAACCCCTATAAATCCTGAGCCGCATACCCCATACCCCAAACCCTAAACCGTGAAACCTATACATCCTGAGCTCCATACCCCAAACCCCAAACCCCAAACCCTAGTGCTCGAGGCCGACGTCGTGGTTCTTGCGACGGGGCACAAGCTGAGCCTACTAGGAGATGTGGGAGCTTCAGAAACCTAAGGTACCCCAAAAAGGAGCCTAAATAGTAGACTCCTGCTAAGGGCAACTACCGACGATAAGGGGATTTCTAGGTTAAAACCCTACTTGCAAGAATCCTCAGGGCAAGGAGTCCTTTCTCCAAGGACCCACGAATAAGGGGACCCGTCTGTTTCTTGTTTTTTCTGGGAGCCTGAAACCCTAAATTTTTCGTTTTACGAGGAGATGTAGATCTCCTTGTCGACGGATGCCCGCAGAAGCTGGGTCAGAAAATGGCGTATCAAGGGGGCCTCATGGTGTCCGATGCGTCTGGACTCAAGGGTTGATGGATTGATTTTAGGGTTTACCATAAGGCCCCAAAGTAGCTCCTTTTTTGGGGTTCATATATAGAATCCTATAAGGTAATCCCAGAAAGGAACTACTTTGGGGCCTATGGGTAGGACTCCAAACCTTAAAGGACGGATGCCGGAAGGAAAGTCGGTCTCTTGACCCACCTAGTAGCGGGATACTTCTGCGGGGTCCTAGTTTTAGGATCCTTGGAAGGGCCCCTGACTTGATATGCTCTTGCAAGAAGCAGCTGCCTAAGCCCTAAACCCCAAACCCAGAACCCCAAACACGAGGCCCTCAACCCTAAACCCTAAACCCTCAACCCTAAACCCTAAACCCTAAATCCCGAACCCTAAACTCCAAACCCAAAACCAACCTAAAAGCCTTGAAGCCCCCCAGAGGAACGATCCCTTCATGTTTAGCCGACTCCTTCCGGAGACCCTTCGGCGGTGCGATTTCTCAACCCGAGGTGCCGAACTTGTTCAACTTCTCCGGGTACTTCAAGGGCACCTACACCCTGCGACTCGAGGCCCAGGGGACCCCCAGGGCCTTTAGCCCTTAAAGCTGGAGGCCTCTTGCCCTGAGCTGCACAGAGTATATAGTTTTTTGCGGTTGAGGGTATAGGATCCCAAGCTTTCGAGGCGGAAGTGCCACTTGTGCTCCGCATCTTGCAGTTCATGGACACCCGTGGCTTCGCGCACGTCGTCCCGCGCTGGCGCGGTGGCGAGGAGGACGTGGACCCGTGCCCCCAGCTGGGGCTCATAACGTCGTCTGCCGGACGCTTGGATCTCATGGACGTGCTTTTTCGGAATGCCGGAGAAGGGAAGGGTTTTCAGTGTGAAGTGATGTCTGCGCTAAGGATATGCAGACTCTGCCTGGCAGGGCCCCAACTATGCCAAGCGAGATGCAGAGTGGCGTCGCAGACCTGGTGTGGGAAAGCAGATGCCCTGGAGAGGCGGATGGAACTACTACGAAGACTGGAACAACTGCCAGGACGCATGCCTCGAAGACGGCACACTCGAGTATGGCCTCGCGAAGTAACATGGGGAAAAAGGAGCGGTGCATTCTGTCAGGGGGCAATGGTCTAGCCCAAAGGTTGGCGATGATCATGATGGTAATGTAGAAGCGTGAATAGTTCGATTAGTTTCCCGCCTAAAGACCCTGCAGGATCCGTATCGTGAGTTTTGGGGGTTTAGGGTTCGGAGTTGATTTGGGAGGGCCACAGCCACACACTAGCTGCCCCAGCTCCTTCTTCGAGTAGTGGCACTTAGGCTGGAGCTCCTCGAATCAAAGCGTGCCTGGGTGGCAAGCAGATTGGGCTACAGGGGAGAGGGAAGAAAGAAAGGTCGAGGGCTTGATGTAGGGGCGTAATAATTAGAAGATGTTCCTTATTATACATACAGTATAATGGGCCACAAAACCCTCTTCCAATCATTAAGGCCCCTACATTAACGGTTTTATAGGGTCCTTACTAATTACCCATACTATTTTGGGGGTTCCTTACTTCAGTTATAGTAGAATTAAGATCCCTAGAGTAGGGCTTCAGGGTTCAGGGTTGCCTAAGCCCTAAACCCTACACGTAGACCCTAAATCCTAAACCCTACACCGTGGCCCTGTTAAGTTTCCTAGCCGCTCCAAGGCTTTCCATGCAGTCAGGTGTGTGTTTGGAGGCCTTCAGGCGAGAGGGGCCCGGCGCCGACATGACAAAATCGACATCTCAGAGGGTCTTTGAGGCTTTGAGGCTTCATTATGCTGTATAAACCCTAAACCTAGAGCCCTTAGAGTAGGACCTTTGGCCCTAAACCCAAAAGCCCTGAGCACAAAACCCTCAAATCCTGAACCTTCAAGACCCTTTCAGAACCCTCAGGACCCTTAGACAAGTCCTTAACAGAGAACCTCTTAAACAAACCCCTACAAACCCCATAGAAGCCCCATATAAGACCCCTTAAAAAAGGGTTTAGGGTTTAGGGTTTAGGGGACCCCAAAAAAAGACAGCTTAAAAAAGGGTTTAGGGTTTAGGGTTTAGGGGACCCCATATAAGACCCCTTAAAAAAAGGGGAGCTTCAAGAGCTCTGCTGAGGCCTGGAGAAGTTGGCTCTGATGCTCAGCCGCCGTCAAAGGCTCCATGAGCTCCTCCAACGCATCCTGCCTCGGATGATATAGATATACACACATACATACATACATACATACTTTCTATCTATCTATCTATTTATTTATCTATCGATCTATCTGTCTATCTATATTGTGCACATATATATATATACACACATATTGTTTTTGTTTACACAGATGCATATGAGGAATCTTTGCGAGATGGAGGCTTCTAGGGGTTCTAGGGTTTCGCGTGCTTAGTAACTAGGGGGTTCTATGAGGGGTCCTTGGGGTTTTCAGGAGTTTTAGGGGTTCCCATAAATTTAGCATGCAAGGGCACGGTTTGCGGCAATGTGCAACAGAAGGTAGTACAGCGAGGTAGTACAGCGAAGCATCGTGCATGGTCCCATGGTGGGGCACATCAAGCAGAGTCAAGCAGAGCACGCCAGAGTCTAGAAGCGTATGCACGCGCAAGGCCCAGAAAGTTCTTTTTGGTTTGCACGCCCTATGCCTTGGGTGGGGTCTTGTTCGCGAGGTTTCGGCGTCGCGTTGATGCCACCCTCCATGTGTTTGAGGTGCAGATGCAGAGCATGGGTTCACACGGTTTAGGGTTTAGGGTTTAGGGGTTTAGGGTTTAGGGTTTAGGACAAAAGAAACCCTCACTCCTTCAAGTAAGTACTCCAATGCTATGTGGAACGTGGCACTTTGATAGTCGATAGTGCAGGACTTTGTCCATCAAGTGGCCCAGCGGGTCAGCAAGATGGGCCATATGATCATCTTCAGTTTACCTGAAACCCTAAACCATCCCTAAACCCCTAAACCCTAAACCGTTGCTCCTAATTCCCAGGTTCTTGAAAGGCGAGGGTTTTGATAGGGATCGGGTCGCGTGCAACTCAATGGGGATCGCACGAGAAATTCCGCCCAAGCTCTTTTACACTGCTGTTGGTTTAGGCCTCCGATCAGCCGACCATCAAGATCAACACCCACAACCTAAACTTCCAAACGATAAGGCTTCCACCCTAAACCCTACTAGTAAACCCTGCAAACCCTGCAAACCCTCAAAACCCTCTAAGCCCTCTAAACCTAAACCCCAAAACCCCACACCCTAAGCCCTAAACTCCCCTAAACCCTATCACGGGACTCCCAGGAAAGCGGGAAGAGCTGGCGACTGCGGGAGCATCGCCGGAGCGCGAGGTCGGAGAGGAGGCGCCAAAAAGGGTCCCAGGCTTCGGAATCACCCGGGCCCCTTAAGGATGGGGCTCAGGGTTCCCTTAAGGGTAATACGGGGTTTTAGCGTTCCCTCAAGTTTGCTACTTAAGGGTACTATAGGTTTGGGGTTCCCTTAACGTTGATTTGAGGGTTCTGCAACATGGGGGTCTGAATAGTTCGGTTTGAAAAAAGTTCCGGAAAGGGTTCGTACAAAGGTTCCGGGACTTGTTCCCAAAAGGGCTCCAAATCATCGTCACCCCGAACCGGTATCACACCATCATAAAGGTTAAGATCGACCGGGTTAAAGTTTAGGGTGCCCAAAAGCTTTGCGAGTCATAGCATCTGGGCGGGGGAGCGTCCAAGTATGTAAACCTGGCTGCCTTTTGGTTGCAGAACTTCGGAATCCCTACCTAAAGCAACTCGAAGTCCCAACCCAGGACCGCTGAACGCATAAGGGCTTTTTACACCCGTGTCGAACCCTAGCGAAAACCCTGAGCAACCCTAAACATGAAACTTTTAAAGCCCTTGAAACCCTAAACCCTAAACCTTAAACCTCAAAGCCCCTGAAGCCCTGAACCTTAAACCCTGAAGCCCTGAATCCCAATAAACCCTAAACCCCAAACCCTGAGCCTCAAGCCGTGCTTTGCAAGGAGAGTTAGTAGGTACAGTTATAAGTACCCTAATTGGGATTATAAGTACATATAAGTGTAGTTACCTGAATTATAACCCTAGTTACTAAGTCCCAAACCCTAAACCCTAAACCCTAAAGGAGAGCGCGCAGCGCCAGCGCCTGCGCGAGTTCCTCCAGACGCGGCAGCTGGCGCCCCCTGCAGCTCGGGTGCGACGGGGGTGTCCGCGATTGTGTAGGGCAGTTTGGGGTGTAGGGTGGGCGTAGGGTTTCAGGTTCAGGATGTGGGTCGAAGGTTTAGGGTTTCGGGTTTAAGATCTTAGGGTTCAGGTTGTAGGGACTGCTAGTTAAAGGAGGCAGGATCTTGCTGCCTGGCACGTGCCGTACGTATGCATGGAGGGTTGCTCACTCGAGGTCAATGACCCGGTGTGCTTTGTGGTATTTGCGGTCCCACTTAAAGATTGATCGGCAAGTGAGGACAAAAGAGAAGATGCGAAGCCCTTGAGAAAGAACTCGGCCACGAAGGACGACAAGGATGCCGAGGATTCCAGAAGCAAAGCCGCAGAACATTTGGCCGCAGCAGCAGCTGCGAAAGAGGCTGCCGAAAAGGCTGAAGAGGAGAGTTTGGCTGCAGCCAGCAAAGCCGAAGAGGAACGCTTGGCCGCAGAGGCAGCTGCAAAAGAGGCTGCCGAGAAGGCTGAAAAGGAGCGTCTGGCTGCAGCCCGCAAAGCCGAAGAGGAACGCTTGGCGGCAGAGGCAGCTGCGAAAGCTGAAGAGGAGCGTTTGACTGCAGCCCGCAAAGCCGAAGAAGAACGCTTGGCCGCGGAGGCAGCTGCAAAAGAGGCTACCGAGAAGGCTGAAAAGGAGCGTCTGGCTGCGGCCCGCAAAGCCGAAGAGGAACGCTTGGCCGCAGAGGCAGCTGCGAAAGCTGAAGAGGAGCGTTTGACTGCAGCCCGCAAAGCCGAAGAAGAACGCTTGGCCGCAGAGGCAGCTGCAAAAGAGGCTGCCGAGAAGGCTGAAAAGGAGCGTCTGGCTGCAGCCCGCAAAGCCGAAGAGGAACGCTTGGCCGCAGAGGCAGCTGCGAAAGCTGAAGAGGAGCGTTTGACTGCAGCCCGCAAAGCCGAAGAAGAACGCTTGGCCGCAGAGGCAGCTGCAAAAGAGGCTGCCGAGAAGGCTGAAAAGGAGCGTCTGGCTGCAGCCCGCAAAGCCGAAGAGGAACGCTTGGCCGCAGAGGCAGCTGCGAAAGCTGAAGAGGAGCGTTTGACTGCAGCCTGCAAAGCCGAAGAAGAACGCTTGGCCGCAGAGGCAGCTGCAAAAGAGGCTGCCGAGAAGGCTGAAAAGGAGCGTCTGGCTGCAGCCCGCAAAGCCGAAGAGGAACGCTTGGCCGCAGAGGCAGCTGCGAAAGCTGAAGAGGAGCGTGTGGCTGCAGCCCGCAAAGCCGAAGAAGAACGCTTGGCCGCAGAGGCAGCTGCAAAAGAGGCTGCTGAGAAGGCTGAAAAGGAGCGCCTAGCTGCAGCCCGCAAAGCCGAAGAGGAACGCTTGGCCGCAGAGGCAGCTGCGAAAGCTGAAGAGGAACGTTTGACTGCAGCCCGCAAAGCCGAAGAAGAACGCTTGGCCGCAGAGGCAGCTGCAAAAGAGGCTGCCGAGAAGGCTGAAAAGGAGCGTCTGGCTGCAGCCCGCAAAGCCGAAGAGGAACGCTTGGCCGCAGAGGCAGCTGCGAAAGCTGAAGAGGAGCGTTTGACTGCAGCCCACAAAGCCGAAGAAGAACGCTTGGCCGCAGAGGCACAAAGCGGAAGTGCTTTCAGATCTGCTTTCTGCATTTTGGTCCTGGGAGTTGTCCGCGGCCATAGGGACGCCCATGTCCGACAAGTTCCGGAATCACATTAATCCCTTGAGTCCGAAGCTTCATGGCCGGTCGGCAGCGTTCAGCCCTATCAAAAACGTTCCATGTCCAGTCACGTTCTCAAAGGCCGGAGTTGGTGCGATTTCGGCCGAAGTCGATCGAACTCAATCTCACACAAGCGAATCATCGCGAATCCCTTTAACCAGACTGTATCATACGTGGATGAGGGTTCGAGGGATTATCCCGAAACCCTAAACCCTAAACCCTAAACCGTCGGATTATCTGCACGAGCACTATGTTCGAGCGCTTTCGGCCGAATTCCTTCGAACTCGCCGGCACAGAACGAAGCCTCGAGCTCGAGGGGCGATCGCTGTCGTCCTCTGGGCTCTGGGCCTCCTACCCTACATTCAGCAGGCTAAGCCCTAACTAGGTTGGATTTTGGGACATTTTTTATTTTCCTTATTTGGGTTTATAAGGGGCCCTATATATATATATATATATATATATATTTATATTTTTTTCAGGGTGTTTAAAGGCCAACCCAGCTAAACCCTAAACCCTAAGGCATACCAAGGAATCAGCAAAGCCGCGAACATGACGGGTAAGCTAAGCCCGTCTTTCTTCTTGATATGCATATGATACCAGATGAGGGTAAAAGGGGGTTCTGCATCTTGTAGGTCAAACTCGGCACAAGGTTTGCCAACAAGGCCACACGAATCACAAATCCGCCCACCCCGAATCCAAGCTACGGACGCCCCGAATGCCACAACTTAGCCTAGAGGCAGCTGCCAATGAAGCTGCCGTGAAAGCAGAGGAGGAGCATCCTGGAGTGCGCAGCCTGTTTCAGTTGCGGTTTAGGGTTTAGGGTTTAGGATTTAGGGAGTTGCAGGGTGGTGCACGCCTGCATGAGGACATCGCAAATGCAAGGGAAGCTCGGAAGAAGGAGTTGCACGAGAGTGCCTCGCCTCTAGAGTTTTCGCATAAGATCTGAAAGTGCACACAATCCTTTGTGCTGTTGGTTTTGTAGCTACCACTGTAGAAAATCATCAGTTGTTTAGTGATCGAGCATACTTGTTGATTCTACTTTAGGTGTCAGATGTTATCTTCCGCGTTTGGGAACCTTCCATGGCCCATGACTCGTGAGGTTGCGTTACATGTGGAGTCACACATGTGCACCTTATTGGAACAGCCAGAGACACAGTGCGGCCCTGCAGTTGCTTTGACGACTGATGCACGAGGGCCTCGGACATTGCGCGGGCTTGGTGTGAAGCCTTGCGATTCCGAAGGTCTCTCCCCCAAGCCTTGCAAGCGCATGCAAGCCCTTGCAAACCCTTCCTGCAAGCCTCTGCCAGCGTCAGCTTCGCAACACTTGAACGAGGAATGAAGGCACTCCTGCAAAGAAAGCGAGCGGAGGCGTCCGACGGCGTCCCACAGGCAGAGTTCAGAATCGTTGCAAGCCTTCGGGGAGGGAGGTTAGAGGTTTCCTGCATCCATACCGGTCGAGTGCGCAGGAACGAGTGGCCGAAGAGGTCGCTGCTAAAGAGGCAGCGGAGAAGGCAGAGGAGCAGCGAGTGGCTGCAGCCAGGGCCGAGGCAGCTCAAAAAGCTGAAGAAGAGCGCTTGGCCCAAGCGGCTGCTGCCAAGGAGGCGGCTGAAAAGGAAGAGGAAGCGCGCTTGGCCGCGGCCAAGGCAGCTGCGGCGCAAAAGGAGGAGGAGCGCCGTGCTGGGCATCCGACCGGCTAGAGATGATGTGTAGGCTTCGGATAGCATGTGAACTATTTTATGAAGCGCTGCAGCCTAATCTGAAACCGACTCATTCGGCGGTGAGCTGTGAAGGATATTGCAGACGCAAGGGAAGCTCGGAAGAAGGAGTTGCATGAGCGCACCCTGGCTCCACTGTCTTCTCGTAAGATCTCCTAGCATCCGAGGCAGTAATGCCATCTCCAATCTTTGCAGTAGATATTCTCGCTAGCGGTTGTGTTCAATGTCGAATCACAAAAACACATGATGTGGAATGGATAGATTCGGATAGATGCAGCATGAAATGCCATCAATCTCCTCATTGCCCTCTCCCAATGCACGCGTGCCTTGAACATTCTGTACACTTTTGGGGTGCGGCGTGCAGGATTTCGAAACTTAAGCTCCGGAAGCTCTGTCAGACCCGAGAAGCCTGATGAAAAGACTCTTGAGCCCCAGACTCTGCAAGCCCCGGCAAAGCCCTAGCCCCAGACAATTGAGAGCCTCCTACTTGTAGAGGGCTTTGAGACGAGGAATGAAGGCACTCCTGCAAAGAAAGCGAGCGGAGGCGTCTGACGACGTCCCGCAGGCAGTGTCCCGCACTTTTGCAGCCTGAGGGAAGGTCGTGGTTTTTCTGCACCCGTAGCCCGTATCTGTAAACTAGCAACTGAGCAGGAACGAGTGGCCGAAGAGGTCGCTGCTAAAGAGGCAGCGGAGAAGGCAGAGGAGCAGCGAGTGGCCGCAGCCAGGGCCGAGGCAGCTCAAAAAGCTGAAGAAGAGCGCTTGGCCCAAGCGGCTGCTGCCAAGGAGGCGGCCGAAAAGGAAGAGGAAGCGCGCTTGGCCGCGGCCAAGGCAGCTGAGGCTCAAAAGGACGAGGAGCGCCGCGCTTCATATCTCACATTGCGAATCGCAAGCAGGTGCTGAAGTGTCACGGATGATATATATAAATATAGACATATTATACATACTCACCAACAATTTATGTTTAGATGTTGATTGAACTAAGTAGTACATGTCTGTACATGTGTGCATATTATTCTGTCACGGATGATCTATACATTACTTTATATATACACATGTATATATATATATATAGGTGGCTATAGCATGCATACACACCAACTATATGTTTAGATGTTTGATTAAATTTAGTAGTACATGTATGTGTGTGTATGTATTAGTATGTCACGGATGACACATACATATGTATATGCATATAGACATATCATACATGCACAGCAGCTAATGATGTTTAAATGTTTGGTTGGGTTTAGCAGCATGTTTTAGTAGCATGTGTATGTATATGTGTAGACATGTATTATGTCGCGGATTGTATGTGTATATATACATATGAATACAAATATATAACTGTATGAATACATAAGCATATAAACATATAAACATATATATATATATATATATGTATATACTTGTGTATAAGCAGAGATCTCAAACACGCACGAACTATTTATGTTTAGATGTTTGGTTTTGTTTAGTAGTATGTGTATGTATATATATATATATATATATGTGTGTGTGTATATATATATATATATGGCATGGTATATAACAAGCACACATATGCACACACGCGCATACATACACACTGCCACACAAGAGTTGCATTTATATCTACCTACCTATCTACTTACATATCTTCCTGCTTACCTACCTACCTACCTATCTATCTATCAAGCCATCTGTCTGTCTGTCTATCTGTCTGTCTGTGTGTCCATGTCTTTTTCTGTCTGTCTGCCTGTCCGCCTGTCCATCTTTCCATTGTTTTTTCCTGTTCATTTTTTCCCGAAAGCATCGCGAAGGGTTCTTCCGTGCGGAGCCCCGCAGATGAGTACAGAGACAAGTACATAGATGACAAACATAGAATCGAGCACATGACCTTATGACTTGACACTTGAGTCTACGACTCTATGACCCTATGACTCTATGACTCTATGACTCTAAGACCGAACTTGACTACTCTTGACTACTCTATGACAGGACTCTGTGACTTACTCACTTGACTACTCTATGACTCTGTGACTTACTCTGTGACTTACTCTGTGACTTACTCTGTGACTTACTCTGTGACTTACTCTTGACTTACTCTGTGACTTACTCTGTGACTTACTCTGTGACTTACTCTCTGACTTACTCTCTGACTTACTTACTCTCTGACTTACTCTCTGACTTACTCTCTGACTTACTCTCTACCTCTCTACATACTCTTGACTTACTCTGTGATTTACTCTGTGACTTACTCTCTGACTTACTCTCTGACTTACTCTCTGATGACTTACTCTCTGACTTACTCTCTGACTTACTCTCTACCTCTCTACATACTCTCTACATCTCGGTATCTAAATCTCTCTTCTAAAGCCAGGGGTGGCACCGTCGTCGTCCATCGGGAATGCAACCCTTCACAGGGATTGGCCACCTCGAGCGCCCAAACGCTAGGAAAAGTGACACATTTTAGGCGCACCGCGCAACCCTTCCCAGGGATTGGCTTGGTCGAGCGCCCAAACGCTAGGTAAAGTGACACATTTTAGGCGCACCGCGCAACCCTTCCCAGGGATTGGCTTGGTCGAGCGCCCAAACGCTAGGTAAAGTGACACATTTTAGGCGCACCGCGCAACCCTTCCCAGGGATTCGCCTCCTCGGGCGTTCAAACGCGAGGTAAAGTTACACATTTTAGACGCGCCGCGCAACCCTTCACATGGATTCGCTTCCTCGGGTGTTCAAACGCGAAGTAAAGTTACACATTTTAGGCGCGCCGCGCAACCCTTCACAGGGTTTGGGCGCAGCTCAACTGCATTTTGCAACCCTTCACAGGGATTGGCATTTTGCAACCCTTCACAGGGATTGGCATGGTCGAATGCACGAACGCTAGGTAAAGTTGCATTTTTTGATGTGCATTGAAATGAATTTTGCAACCCTTCACAAGGATTGGCGTGGTCGAGTGTTCGAACGCGAGGTAAAGTTGCAATTTTTATGTGCATTGAGATGAATTTTGCAACCCTTCACAGGGATTGGCGTGGTCGAGTGTTCGAACGCGAGGCAAAGTTGCAATTTTTGATGTGCATTGAGATGAATTTTGCAACCCTTCACAGGGATTGGCGTGGTCGAGTGTTCGAACGCGAGGTAAAGTTGCAATTTTTGATGTGCATTGAAATGAATTTTGCAACCCTTCACACAGATTGGCGTTGTCGAGTGTTCGAACACGAGGTAAAGTTATTATTACTTTTGATGTGCATTGAGGTGAAACTTGCAACCCTTCACAGAGATTGGCGTTGTCGAGTGTTCGAACTAGTACTAGTACTACTACTACCACTACCACTACTACAACTATTATTACTACTACTACTGCTACTACTACCACTACTACAAAAGAATACTACTACTACTACTACTACTGCTACTACTACTACTACTACTACTACTACCACTACTACTACTACTACCACCACTACTGCTACTGCTACTTTGCTACTACTACTACTACTACTACTACAACTACTACTACTACTACTACTACTAGTACCACAACAACAACTACAACTACCACAACAACAACTACAACAACTACTACTACTACTACTACTACGACTACGACTGCGACTACGCGACGACGACTACTACTACGACTACCACTACTATCACTACTACTAGTACTGGTACTGCTAGTACTACTACTACTACTACTACTGCTGCGACATAAAGTGACCATGCATAGAGTCATAGAGTCACGTTGAAACCACAGTAATCAGGGATGTCTATATAGTGAGGTTCCGGAGCTAGGAAAGGAAGACTTCTGCGTCATGTTGGACTATACCCTAAACCCGCTAAACCTGAACATTAGTGTTCATAGAGTGAACTACATCAAGTCAAGTGCGTGGTACATAGATGACTCCATGACTCTATGACTCTTTCTCACTCTGACGCTATGACTCTATAACACTATGACTTTATGATTCTGTCTCACTGTGACTCTATGACTCTATATGACTCTATGACTCTTTGAACTATGACCTGTGCTTGACATATACTCGTCTTTATTTCTCGATGACTCTATGAACTATGACTTGTGCGACTCTTGACTGTATGTGACACTCCGACTCCGTGACTCCGTGCTTTTGACTCGATGACTCTATGACCCTATACACTGGATTCTATGACGTAGCGCAACACTCTTCGCTGATGATGCTTTCGGGCCAATTGTCTTCTAGTTAATATCTACTTACCTGTTTATCTAGCTATCTTCCTTTCTTAATTTCTATGTCATGTACCTATCGATCTCTACCTCTCCATGTCTCCATCTCCCTAGCTATCTATCTATCCATCTATCTCTTTATCTCTCTATCTCCATCTCTCTGTCTCTCTACCTATCTCACTTTCTTGTTTTAGTCTCTCTCTATCTATCTTGCTATCTGTCTACCAATCTTTCTATCTTTCTATCAGATGCATGCATACGGAGTGCCTTCTAAGTTTTTCTCACTCGGTGGCGGGTACCTGCATCAGGACCTCGCAGACCTGCGAGAAGCTCGGAAGAAGGATTTGCATGAGAGTCCCTGGGCTCGTTTGTGTTTAGGAGATTAGGGTTTAGGGTTTAGGAGATGTGGTTTTAGGGTTTAGGAGATTTGGGTTTAGGGTTTAGGAGATTAGGGTTTAGGGTTTAGGAGATGTGGGTTTAGGGTTTACGAGTCTAGGGAATAGGGCGTAGAGTCATGCCCGGCCAGCGAAGCAGCAGCATCAGCAGTTTTCCGGAGGTAGCTCATGCTTGATACGTCTCTCGGCTTCCGGTGTTCTTCTCCATTTCCGACCGTCCATGGTCCAGGAGTGAGTCTTGAGCTTGAGTTTAGTCATTAAACTTGAATGTGGAGTCACGAATGCGCCTGGCAAGAAATAGACCGATACCACTTATGCCTGCTTCTGCTACAAGATTGGTCGAACAGTTTCTGTGTTCTCTGCACCCTCAAACCCGAAAGCCCTGAAAACCGTGAGGCCTAGTGGAGCCGTAAACCCCTAAAGCCCAAACCGCCTGAAGCCCTAAACCCAGGCCTGGATTCAGCGGCTTGAAGATTTGAACTGCTCCATGCTAGGCGCGTTCACACGGATGAGATGCTGGACCCTGAATACTGGAATTCTGACTATGAAGATCCCTAACCCCAAAGCCCATGGCGTGCTTCGAAAGGTGCCCCTGATTAGACACCCTCGGAAAATTGAAAACCTTCACCACCGTGAGACGAGGAATGAAGGCTCTCCTACAAAGAAACCGAGCGGAGGCATCCCACTTCGTGCTTTCAAGGTTTGAGCTTTCATGGTTGAGGATCAATGGATTTGGTGTCGGGGATTTACATTTGAGGCTCATTGCCTCTGTCTGATCCGTAGCGCTAAACCCTAGACCCTAAGCATAGGACCGATTCAGAGCCATGAGAGTTTCGGCCGGTGAGCGAATGACCGTTCAAGAAGACGAACAGGGAAGGACAAGCACACAAACAGACGGACTGACAGACGGACTGACAGACCGACAAGACAAACAGAGATGCAGACGACAGACTGATCACTGACTGATGGAATTAAGGGGCGCTTGATTGAGCTGGGGACAACAGAATGGAATGGGATCCATGCCTGAGCGTATAGGTCAGTCCACCTGATGAAAGACGATGTGAGCCAAGCATGTGTGCAGGTAGGTGTGCATGGATGATTTTCTTGTGCGCATACGCACCTTGTGTGCTTGTTTTTGCAGGCGTGTTTATCTATCTCTGTGCATTCATCAAGCATTGAAGTACATGCATCTTTGCCTGCTGACGTACTCACTTGTGCATGTTCGCATGTGTTTGTGCAAGCTTTTCCACAAGCATCAAGCTGCTGCTCCTCCTCCTCCTCCTCCTCCTCCTCTTCCTCCTGTGTTTTCCACGAATGATGTCTAGCGGTTCGGCACGTTGTTAGCCGTCCAACGTGAGCACAGCTTTAGAGGACGCTGCATGGCTTGGCGATCGCTCACACCATGAATAGATGTATGGAAGATACTCGAATCGTTTGCATTCGAGATGTGTGTTTACTATACATCATGGCTCGGCTGCAAGCTGTCCCGTGGTTTGCATGTTTTGGGTCTGACCTGTTAACTTTTTGTTTGCTGGCTCGAGGGGTTTGTCTCTGAGAGACGGAGGCATGGCAAGCTTACAACAACGGTGCGCCGCACATGGTCAGTTCATAATTCAAGGTCAGCTGCTCACTTTCTCGGGACTACTTCGCCTTTTCTAGGCAAGAGTGGGCTTCATTGTGCAGCCTGAGGAAGATGAGGAGGACGATGAGGAGGACGAGGAAGATGAAGATGAGGACGAAGAGGAGGAGGCTTGGGTATAGGGATGCCATCGAGCACGCAACAGAAGCCTACATGTTGTAAGCATGTCAGATCAGAGTGACCCGAGGAAGAAGAGGAGGAGGAAGAGGACGACGAGGAAGAAGAAATGGCAAGCCACGAACAGGCTTGGCTTGCTTGACGTGTTCAGGAAGTCTCACAATAGAGGTCGTATGTAAGCTCATCTGCCTGGACAGTCCCAAACCCTAAACCCCAACTCCAAAACCCCAACCCCTAATCTCCCAAACCTGCAAATCTGCAAAACCCGAAATCCTAGAACCACGGAGGGGACCAAAATCCCCAGAGAAGCCGCCGACTTAGGCGGAGAGCGCTGGAACGGTTCCGACCGCCCAGGGCTCCAGAGCTGCCGTGCAGCGGCCGTTGGTGCCGGCAGCTTGCTTTGCTTCTTATGTTTGAGAGGGATGGTTTGGGGTCTTGGGGTTTGGGGGCTATGATATAGGGTTCAGGTTTTAGCGTTTTAGTTTTGGTTTTTTTCAGACTGTTGGTTTTGATGCAGGTCCTAGATACTCCAGTACTGCCAAGTTCATCGTCATCATCATGATCATCATCATCATCACCACCGTCATCATAACGCCCACCATCGCACTCGATTATCAAGATTCTCATTGAGAGTGCAGGGAGTATCAAAGATTTCCCTCATGCTTCGTTGTTTTCCGTTGTCCTTAAGCTCAGGGTAAGTAGCTCCTCGCAGAGAAAGCTTGTGGGTCACGGGTGGGATATTGACTTGTATCAGCACCGGAGCTCCTGTGAAATGCACAGGGCAAAGGTTGTCAGGCTCACGCCTGGTAGTGAATTTTTGATTTGCTCAGGCTCAACAGCTGGAAGGGTGTGACTAGACTACACACGAAGTTCTTTGAAGAATGAAAGCTCTGGCGGTTGCGTTGTGGGCTTGGACTGAGGACAGTGACGACGAAGAAGACGAGGACATACCTTCACGATGGTCGTTGTGAGACCCGTGGAGTAGTGAAGTTGCTCCGTGAGAAGGGGTCTACCGCACATCGGAGGTCGGCTTGTGCGCGCATGCTTATGTGCGTGAATGCCTGTGTATAGCTGCACATACATGCGCTTGCAAGTGTCTGTCTATGTTTCCGTCAGCCTGTATGCCGACTCTTTGTCTGTCTGTCTGTCCGTCCGCTCTGTTTGTCCGCCTGCCATAGATTGGCATGATGGCGTCGATTGCGTGGTATGGGATGGTGCAGTGTGGTATCTTGCAGTGCGGTATGGTATGGTATGACATGGCGTGGTGCAGCGGGGCATGGTCCAGCATGGCATGGCCTGGCCTGGACGGCAGGGGATGGCATGGCGGTATGGTAGGGTAGGGTGCGGTATGGTGTGGTGTAGTGCGGCATGGTATGGTAATTTGTGGTGTGGTATGGCCTGTGCCTTTGCACGGAAGGGAATGGAATGGCATGGTCTTGTATGGGAGGGGATATTACGGTGCGGTATGGTACGGTTGGTACGGTATGGGTATGGTGTGGCATGATGTGTTGTGTCAGTTTTGCAAGGGGTGCGTGTGGGCATGTGCATGTATGCGTGAGCAAGCGTGTATATGTGCAGTCACCACATGCGTATATGTGCCTTCATCACATGCATGTAGGCTAGTATGCATATGTGTATTCACACACACACACCATGTATCTATCCATATCTGCGTTTGGATCCTTGTGCACATTCATGCATGCACATAACCACATTTCTGTCCAAACCCGTAGATACATGAATCCATGCATGCATGCATGCATACGTCGTACCTACGCAACTTCACACATACACACATACGTAGGTACATACGTGCACGCATGGGTAACCTCATGCTGTTGCTTCCCTGATACTTTTCTGCAAGACCAGTATCATTCTACGAGTACACGAAAGTTGGACTGTTCAAACATGTGATGTCCAGGAGGAGTCAGAAGAAGAGGGCTTCATGAGCATCATGAAGGGGCTTCAGGCCTGGGGCACCCAGGACGTTCGAGGTTTCTCATCTGCGGACACCTCTACCCATCGATCTCGGGCTCTGAGCTTTCGAGCTGGGGTGAAACTGTGGGCCTTGTCTTCGCTCGGTTAGCTGTAATTCTAGTGTGCGGTCTGGGAGCTTCGCAAAGAAGCATCAGCAAGACAGTCGAGATGTTGGTCTCCAAACCTTACTCCTGAAATTGAAAGCGTGGTTGCAGTGCGGTTCGCACGCGTCAAGTTTGCTGTGTCGCGGAAAAGAACACTTTGACTGAACCTGGGTTCGTTTTGCACTTCACCCACAACTCCCAACAACGTCCTTGCCGCCATGTGGTTTTGGGTTTAGGATTGTCCCGGTTCGTTAGTGCACTACACCCCATGCACGAAACCCAAGCCCGAACCCCAAAAGACAAGCCAACGAAGCCCCAATCAAATCGGAACCCGAAATTCTTAGGGGTACTTAGAACTAATTTCTAATCTTTGGTTATTCTAATCCCTAAGAAACAGCTAAAATTATGATTTTTGCTAGGGTTCTAAGTTCAGTATAGGAGATCGACTCTGGAGTCCCAGCACAGCCAGAAAGCAGGCACGGCGTGCGAAGCCCGGCGCTGCCGATTCCGCCTCCTCATCCCAGGCCGAGTTGGGACGGCTTGAATTCGGGATTGCCAGTCTTTAGCTTGGGGGGTGGGGGTATGAGGGCTCTGGGCAGTTTCGCTAAACCTCTAAACCCAAGCCACAAATCTAAAACGTGCCTAAATCGCAAGGTCGAGGACACACACCATGGCCCTCATCCGGCCGTCATCCTGCAAAGCGCCCCAAGAATTTATTCTTGAACGCCCTGAACACCGGATCTCGAAACCGAAGCATCTTCGTAATCCACGCAGTTTGTTCACTTCGGGCCGCCATGGTCGAAGGGGGTTGAGGGTTTAGGGACAAGAACCCAGAGGGCGCAACACTCCCTTAGGAGTCCTTTAGGGTCAGGGTTCCCAGGTCTGGGTATACTACCCCAAGTTGTGAACCTATGAAGGATCTCAAATTGGGTGCTTTTCGGCACTGCGACGACAATCTCAACTCTCTCACGACCTCCAGCTCTGCCTCTGAGTTTGTGAGTTTCCAAAGCATCTACGGCGTCTGTCGAGCTTTTCCTTCTGCCCGTAGATTCCCAGGGACTCCGAACCACTTTATTTCAGGAGTTCTGATCAGAGATCCTACTCTGTCTCAGGGAAGATTCCTTCCCCGGAAGTTAGAGTCTCTTGGCACTAGAGTCCGTACATGCAAACACGTACAGCATCCTTACCTTACGAGAGCCCATAAAACCGATGCAAAACCCTATACGCCCTATGAAACTCTTATGCAACCACCAAACCCTAAACCCTAAACCCTAAACCCTAAACCCTAAACCCTAAACCCTAAAAGACCTGTAGAGAGGTGCCAGAGCCAAAGAAAGCCAAGCAGCCGGCCGGCAAGCGGGACGAGGAGGCCTGGCCTGTCGGTTCAGGGTTTGTCGGGCTGAAGTTCAGGGGTCCAGGCGTCTGCGTTTAAGGTCAGCTTAGGGTTTAGGGTTTAGGGGTTTAGGGGTTTAGGGTTTAGGGTTTAGGGTTTAGGGTTTAGGGATTCAGGGTTTTAGAGTTCCCAAGGGTTTGCATCAAATCGGAATAACAGGCCATGTATACTCAATTCAAGGTCACGGGCCCCCTGGGCAATCCTGAAGCCCTAAGTGGCTTCAGTCTAGACCCCCCACCCGAGACGCCCAAAAGCTAGCACCTAACCCGAAACCCGTATAAAACCCTTATAAAGAACCCTCCTAGAATCCGTAAGATGCCCCAATGCTCCCCTGATAGAACCCGCAAGATACCCCAATGCTCCCCTTATCAACGAAAAGCATCAAGGAAACCTTGAAAACCCTTCAACAAGGGACCCTTCGTCTCAGAGGAAGAGAGCCCTGAGGCAGAGCTGGAGCGCGAGCGGAAGGAGGTAGCCAGAAGGACTCTGGAGCTGATGGAGGCTTTAGCAGGGGCTCTTCCTCTCTTCTAAAATCCTAAACCCTAAACCCTAAACCCTAAACCCTTCCTTCGGCGAGGGGTTCTATGAGGGTCCAAAAAGGATCCAAAGAGTTTTTTCAGACCACGGGGAGCTTTGTCTTTATGGCTCTGGATCCTCTGAAACTGCCATCCAACAGGGTCTTGATAAGGGTCTAAAGGGTCTTGATTGGATGGATAGGGTGGTTAGTGTTTAAGGATTTTCAGATTTTAGGGGGTTGTCGGCGTGTTGGATTATGGCATGTGGTGAAGTTGCGTGTAGACGTCACAGCATGCAGCACATCAGGGAGGCTTGTTGACGGGCTCCGTCAAATGTCCCCGGCCCACCTCCTGACTCCTAAATTCACGCTGAGTTCCCCGGCCATAACCCTCAACCCAAAACCCTAAGCCCTAAACATCCCTAAACCCTATATGTTACCTATAGGGCAGACGCAAAAAGGAGCTCAACAAAAAAAAACCTATATGAGACGTAAATATCGGAACTCAGCCAGGCCAGGCGAATGGTCGACGCAGCTTTGGAAGGCGACACCGGCAAAAAGCCAGAGCCCCAGATCTAAAAACCCGCCCTAAATGCCAAATGCTACAATCACAAAGGCCCTGAAGCCCTAAAGGGAACTCCAGAAAGTTGGAATATGATTAATGGTAGGATCCCCTATAATTTACCATAAAGGGGTTAGGATAATCATATTCCAACTTTCTGGCTTCTACTGTGACACCAATAGAAAACTAAGCCCCTAAAGTCTAAGCCCAAAGCACTGGTGCCTGGCGCCTCGTGGTTTCACACGGGTTCAGAGGGTTCGGGTTTCGGGTTCAGTCTACGGGTATACCAGAAATTTAGGTCAGCATAGAGGTCTGAAGAAGTAGTCATGATATGCAATCCTAAACCCTAAACCCTAAACCCTAAACCCTAAAGCCTAAGCCTTTTGATTCTACTTGTTCAGGCCCCTGTATTTCCGATGACAGGGGCCCAAACAAAGCAGCTTGGCAGGAGGATCCTGGACTTAGGGATGTTTGGGCCTTTATAAGCAAGATTCCCAGCTTCACTGCCTTCGGTGTGGGGGGGGGGGGGGGCCCTCAAAATCTGTAAGACAGTATAGAGGGCCGTATTGAAATTATTGAGGCCTTATACTATAGTACAACTTTGTGGAACCTTTACGAAGTCCAATAAAAAATTCTGAAGGCCCCTATATGTCGCGACCGTCTATGGGGGGCCCTAGACTTACCTTTTGTTAGTAGGGAATGGAAGAATGGTAATAATAGTAGCTATGATTATACCCCATTCCTCCATTCCCTACTAACCCAAGGTAGGTAGATAAGGGTCAAAACTTCCGGACTTCGTGCCTTCCGGGAGACAGGAAGAGCCGCAAGCGCAACTACGTGAACAAGCGATGCAGCGTGCACCTTATCAGGCCATGGCTCGGGAGACCCTGGTGGGATTCTAGAAGGTTACTGCAAGGGTACTGGAAAGGTTCGAAGGAGAGTGTCAGGGTACTATAAGGGCTCTATAAGGGTGTGGCGGTGTCGGGTTTCAGGGTTGGCTTTGACGGTTTGGGGCTTTAGGGTTGTCAGGGTTTAAAGGTTGTTCATAGGCGTCTTACGCCTCATTCACAGACCTACGTGCTTCATGTCTGAGTCTGACTCTTTGAACTTCGAAGATCCTGAAGCAAAGCCAGAAATCCCCAAAGCTCTGAACCCTAAAGCCTTTCAGCACCGACAGCGCCGAAACCCCGAAGCTTCAACGCGTTGCAGCCCCCGGTTTAGGGTTTAGGCTTTAGGGTTTAGGGTTTAGCGTTTAGGGTTTAGGGTGTCAGAACACCAAACCCTGTCGGCACAGGCAGAAGATGGATGAGGAGCTGGCGGCTCAGGCGGGCATTCTTGCAGCTGTGTGGCTGCTTTGCCAGGCAGACAGGGACATGTCAGAGAGGTCACATTCGAAAAGGCCCTAAACCCTAAACCCTAAACCCTAAAACCCTAAACCCTAAACCCTAAACCGTTGGAAGATCATCTTGGGAGTTGTGTGAAAGTCTATGTCATAAGCCTGAGCCTTGAGCCCCAAATCGACCACCATAGAAACGACGTGGTAGCTCTGGCCTTGGCAGGAGAGAGGCCCGCGGTACGTGAACAACGTGGCGATCTTCGTCAAGAAGGGGTGGCTTGGCTTCGCAGCTCCAAGATGCATGCTTGGGGTCATTCGGCTGTGGGACTGCAGAGTGTGTGGTTTGAGGGTTTTTGGGTTTAGGGTGTAGGGGTTGCAGCGTTAGGATTTTCGGCTTGGAGTTCACGCTGTGCATGTGGGCCCCTAATATGAGCTTTCGGTGTCCTGGGGGCCCAGTCGAGGAGCCATACTCAACCATTACTTCACGGGAAGACTGTTGGGATCGTTCCTGAATCAGGAACACCTAAAAGTAGATAGGATTTGGTACATGCTGGGTGCAGGTTCAATCGTCCAATCCCGAGCACATTAGGTAAAAGGCCCGAAGTTTTAGCCGCTAAGACCCAAAACCCTTAACCCTTAAGCTTTTATTGCCCACCACACAATAGAGGCCACGGTAATTTGTCCGCAGGTTTGGGGGGTATATCGAATGAAAAGTTGCAGGGATGGCAAGGTATACGGCGGTATACCATAATTAAGTATGTTCAGACCTCTACACTAGTTTCCACACGCTGCAGATTTTGCAGAATGATGTCTCACATGGAGCTTAGAGCGTCGAAGCAGACGTACCTCCTGGGGTTGGTAGGATCATGGATCCTTCATATAAGTGCTGTGATTGAGACTCCCTACCTACGCGAATCCCGCTTTCTGAGCCTTTCGATAGAAGGTTTCCAGCTTCAGGTTTCGAGGGAACAGCCTGGGCGACGATAGATGCATCTTGAACTTCCAACTCAGTATTGCAGTGCCCAGGCAGAAAGACATCGACGCCAACACGCCTGCCTCGCTCGTTTGGGCGCTCTGAGAGAAATCCGAACTTGAGCTTCTGTGCTGTAAGCACTCCTAGGAGCCGAGCTCTGCCCTTGGGTTGGAAGCTGGACCACAGACCGTAATCCTTCAGAACCCTTATAGTACCGTTACAGGATCCTTATAGGAACCGTGCAGGACCCTTATTGGAACCAACAGGGGAGCCTCGGTACCTTGCAGGAACCTTGATAGGACTCCTGTCGAATACTCATAACCCGTATAACAGCCTTCTTTCGAGATCCTTGCTCGGTCCTAAAAGAAACGATCCAGGGCCGATGTCTTGGTGAAGAAAGATGTGCGGTCCTTGGAGAAGGGTTACTTACAACGAGGGTACAGGCCTCTGGGTGCAATCTGTGGGTTTTGCCATCTTCACTTTGGCAATGTGGTTGAGTACGTGGATGTCATTCTGGAGTAGGGTTTTCGTGTTGCATGGAGATGTAGACTCTTTAGACGGAGTCGTTCCTTAGGGCTCGAGGTTCCGCCTGGACGCCGGTGAACCAAGCTGCCTGCACAACCAGGGGGTTCTCTAGTTACTACACCCGGAGTCAAGGTCAATTAGCACCTCGCCCCCGGGCGTTTATGCCTCGTTTTAGGGATCTAAAAAAAAACTGTACAGACGACTTGACTTTCTTGACCGACCTGACCGGATCGCGGTGGTTCTTCTGCTGCGCACATCTAGGTGCCGCTATTGCTATGGGGCATGGCATGTCTTGATGCTGCCCAGACTTCCATTCGCTCAAGCTGATGCAGAAGAGCATATTATCAGCTTAGCGCACACATCGCAACCTTGTAACAGGGAAGGCGCAGGACGAGAGTGGGTACGAGTGTTGCAACCTCTTGCACCCATGCTAAGCCCTGAACTCTGTACCACAAAGCACAGACAGGTCTTTCGTATGCATTAGCAAAGTCTTCTCGAAGGGGCCCCTTTCCCGCCCTTCCGACGCGTGGCTGCCCCAGGCTTGGCAGCTTGTTCGCAAGGATGTCGGACCATGCTCAAAGGCTCGAGTCCATGGCTACCATGGACGGGATGATCAAAGTGAAGGCGGGAGTTTTCGAAAGTGTGGAGCTCGGGGAGTGGGGCTTATAGAGATCCTAAAAGGGGGGATACTTCTTCTGATCACCCCCGGAAAGGAACACCGAATTTGCAGATCCCGATACCCGACAGCCCAAAGCCCCAAAAACCAGTAACCACGCCCGCAGGTCCAGGATCGCGACGAACCCTATCTTGTCCCAGCTGTTGTGCTCGCGCTGAGCTCCGATGTCTGGAAGGCATCTTTGACCGGGGAGTTCAAGGAGAGTCTGACCAAGGAGCTGCATCTTCGTGATGTCAGCGATGCGACCTTCCGCATGCTCCTGGAGTTTCTACTCCCTTCAGCTGCTGCGGAGGCTGCCATCACAGAAGAGAATGTCTATGTGCTTACTGAGGTGTCCGTGAAGTATGCCTTAGCCGGATTGAAATGCAAATGTGTAAGACACTTGAAATCCAGCACCATTTCGGAGAAAAATGTCGAGAAAAGGCTGTACCAGGCGATCAAGTTCCAGGAGGATACTGAGACACCCTTCTTCCGCGAAGACGTGGAGAGCTGCAACTTGGCTGTCACTACTTCTTGCAGCTTCTCCCCACTCGAAACCTCTGTGGGTTCACTGCCGGTTTCGGGGCGATAGATTGGTCATCCCATATCCTTACTCAAACTGAATGGCCAGGCAAGCAGTTCCTCATCGACAAGTATTTACATCTGGATGCATGCGGCATTCTACAAAGAATCCAGGGGCTCATTCAGGACGCAGTGTTCCCCCAAAGGCCTAAACTAAACCCAAAACCAAACCCCAATACCTGAAGTCTAAGCTCCAAAACTTGCGATTTGGTGACCAAGCAAGCTTGAAATTCCCGTCAGCTTGCGGCCTGGAATCCTAGGACTGTTCCCTAACCCTAACTGAATCTAAACGGAAGCTGAGTTTGCACAAAGCTTGCAGTTGCTTCAGCTTCATTGAACACGTCTGTTATAGGGTAGCAGGCTCTTCTTCCGGGCATGGAAACCAGAACGGTTTCAGCTACGCACCGTCATCTTCGGAAGCCCAAACATCAGGTGTTTCTTGCATGGCAGCTTGAGAGTCCTCATAGCGGGAATTTCGGATTCAGTGCATCGCTTCGATGAGAGGAGGATGCCGCGGAGATGTCCATGAAATCTACAGCTCTGACGGATCAGTTCATGAAGCTCATATGGGAAGTCGTGGGTTCCACAGCATCACGCGCAAAACGTGCAAGAACTCAGTACTGGGACGGATACATCGAGCTTCCGTTTTATGCTGACCCGAGTTCAAAGTCTCGAGTTCGTGGCGACGTATCCGTCAAATTCCCAGAGCTGCATGCTTACTTGAAATGAAGGTCCACATGAAGATCGACGGAGATGATGACGGAATGTTACATTGGTGGACCAACCAGGAACCTTATCCATCGGGCACTTTCGAGGATACAGATGCAAAGACCAACAGCAGCTTCACAGGTGTGGCGTGGGGGTACTTGGAGTTTCACAGCGCCGGTCTGGTGAAGTTGCGTTGGCAAAAACGCTCCTGCACTTCTTTGCTTCTTTTTGCGCATGTCTCGCCGACCACCCCAACCCTGATTTCTTGTTACGGAGCTGAAGACTCCGGTCCCGTAGCTCACCTCCGCAAGGAGCATGCATTGTCTTTATCACGCTAACTTGACAGGAACCCGGAACCCAAAGCCCTAGGGCGAATTGTTACATTACAGTCTATAATTATGCTGGGTAGTTAGTTCCTCCTACGCAGGCAAGTCTACTACTCCGGACCTGCCTAACCTCATCTTCCGCTTCCAATCTGCCCCTGAACCCAAAACGGTTCAAGATTACCGACCCAACCACAGTCAATTGTACCATGCCCAGTCTGAACCTTAGACTCTAACGGCGAAACGAAGGGTCTGGCATTTCTTGCTTATCGGCGTTTAGGGTTTGCGGTTTACGTGGTGCTTGGCAAAAAGACAATAGATAGAAAGTCAACGTGTTCGGCAGAAAGTAGGTACATGCTTCAGGGTGTCTGGCAGAGGCTGAGGCTTTCAGCTATTGCGCAAGCAGCCAGTTTTCCTTCAGATTGCCAAGCCCCCTTGAGAATATTCCTGAAACTGTATTGGGTTTCTGTGTCGCAGGACGGAGGTGTAGTTCTGATGTGATGGCTAGCTTGATCCTCGTCGTTTGGGGTTTATCATCTGTGAGCACAGCTTGACTTTCACAGCCAGCTTGGTTTCATCGGCCTGACTCTTCTGCTTGAGAATACGCGCATCTAGGTGCTGCCTTGGTCATGTACCATGACAAGTATTGATGCTGCCCAATTTTCCACTCGCCCAAGCGAAGGAATAGATCAGCCAGCACAATCCACACACTTGCAGTACGACCCTGTGACATAGAAAAAGTGCAACATGGTTCTCCTGAGTGCTGATGGGTGATCAGCCAACCCGGCTGCAAACCTTAAGCCCCCCAAACCCTGAGCAAGTTCAGCTTTTTCGAAAGAGCCGTCCAGCACCCTGCACCCTGGGAAGTCGTCATCTTGCGAGTTTACTGAACTCGTTGTGTAGCTTTGCAGTGACTCTACAAATCCTGGCCCAGCCTTTCGAAGCCTTCCAAGGAGAAGGAGAAGGCGAAGAAGGCCAAGGAGAAGGATGAGAAGAAGTCCGCCAAGGCTCGGCATGAGAAGCTCGGGGGCAAGAGGACGGTCTGTCGTACTCGGGCGCTGTTGTTGTTTGGGGTTTTGGGGTGTAGGGCTCTTAACCCCGGAGTGTCTTTCCGATACAAGAAGCTGACGACAGGTTTGCAAGCAGTTGACCTATCGTCTTAAACTCCCGACCCTGACCCTGAATCCACTCCAAGCGCCCCTAAACCGTCGCCACGGTTGACAAAGACACATTGACATAGAGTATGAAGAGCGCCCAGCCCTATACCCTCGAACCCTCAAGGGAACCCCCACCACGGACGCTAAAAAGGATGCTGAACGAAGGGACTCTCGTTTCGAGCCTGCTGCCAGGCCTCGGAGTGATGGCTTCATCACCTGAGGCTCGCGAAATGCCGGAAGGAGCGGAAGTAGGGGTTCCTTCAAGGGGTCGTTAAGGATTCCGGGTCCTTTGAGGGGAGGCGAAGTGCTCGAGGGAGAGAGAAGTTTCAAGTTCGCTGTCAAGTCCACGGTTTGGAGATGATCTGTCAATACATATCAGCCCAAAGCCTTAAGCCCCAAAGCCTAACACAGCAGAAGGAAAGAGGGCCTCTAGTGTGCCATTTGTGTTTGCCCAGGTTCTGGTCACTCCTGCAATCCACAACGCTGCCAGTGCAGTACTCACATCGCAATCAGACCATGCAACTCCCCCTAGCACTCCGAAAATGTTTACCAAAGCATCAGGCCCGTCGAGGCAACCCTGCACCAGCGGCTTTTGGCCTTCACCCACCCTCCCAGATCGGGTTTAGGAAGGATCGAGATGCTTGCAGCCTCTTGAAGTTGCCGGACGGGTCTCAGCTGTTGTTCTAATTCTCTAAATCAGGGTCCCTTTTAGTTTTATATCCCCTTTTTTGGTCCTTATTATAATACGGCACCTAATAGCCAATGAAGCGAGAAGCCCGAGGATCGATGACTACTCGTCTCACGACCTAAGAGCTAGCAGAGTGCCCGACATCATTTTTGATTTCTCCAAGCCCAAACTCCAGCATCACAAGCGGCTACCTCATTGGTGCCGTGGTCATTCAAGGCAAAGACAAGTGGTGAGATTCAATCAATACTACGCTGAACTCAATTGTCTCGAAGATGTCAGAAGCCTTGCGCCAGCACAAGCTGAACACAGTGGAAACTGGCACAGGACCCTGCGACCATGTGTGAGTGGATCGCCTTGTGCCGGCAATTTTGTTACGATGAACTCGCTCTTCCCATGTAACGTGTGTTTGTGCTTTTGGGAATCTGTAGGTCCCCCTAAACCCTAAACCCTAAATCCTAAACCCTAAACCCTAAACCCTAAACCCTAAACCGCACTGTAGGTCGTACGTACTCCCCTGCGCTGCCCTTGCTCTTCTTCCGTAGTCCACGAAGCACCGCGTGAAAGAGCTCAGATCCTTGGGGTTCTCACTGGGAATCACGGCCTAAGCCCTAGCTTCAAGTTGAACCTTACACCCTATATCCGCACAGGCCCCTACCTAAGTTTCCTTTTTTGGGTTACCTTATAGGATCCCTAATAGATAATTGGTGAAACCAAAAAAAGGAACTACAATGGAGACTATAGGCAGGACTTTGGACTTAGGATCGAATCGAAGGGCTTGTGGTCCAATACCCCTTAATTAAGGAGTATACCTTAAAACTGATGGGATTCATATTATGATTTAAGCTATATTCCTTAAGTCAGTAAAGGGACATTTAGACCTTTGCTGCAGTTCGCGACTGGCGGGCAGAGCAAAAAATCAGCGGCACCGGAGTTATCTGGTTGAGCTGGGACGGTCTAGCCGCAAGCGCAAGTGTTTTTAAAAGGTATTTCGAGAGGTTCGGTTGCTGTCATGCACCCAACCGAGATAAGCAAGAAGTCGCGTGAAACTCCGATGGTGTTGTTTGCTCCTCAAAGCAGGTTCCATCATCCCATTACATCGCCTGTTTTATCTGAGCCCCTTACATGCAAGTTCGGTGACAACAAGAGCAATGATTGCCGCTCCCTGTTAGATGTTCAACCTGGGGCCGGTACTGCTGCATGCTGACTATATGCATGAGTTTTGTTGATCTTTCAGACTCTTGCGAGTGACACTTCAAGGTACAAGTGTTGACCACGCTTCAAGATGCAAGTGCTTGCAAAGCTTCTCAGCGGGATGCCGGTCAAGCGTTGCATCATTCTCAGTCTCTTGAGGGCCGCGGTTAGGCTTAGGGTTTGGGGGCTTTTGGGAGGCAGGATCTCGGGTTTGGCCCACTGCCCCAGTCGCAGCCATGCTTCGCATGGATGGCGCGAGATGATGTCGGCTGAGGACAGCAGACCCTAAGCTCACAGGCCCCTGTGTCCCAAATACCTTAAACTTTTTTGGACTCCGGGCTATTTCATTTCTGTTTTTTGGGTTTGGGAATTTTTGGGACTTGACAGCACCTTGTTCCCCGCACCAGAGCGAGCTCCAGCCTTTTCGATTCTGCTTGCATCTGGTATCCTAAACCCCAAACCCCCGTACTAACCCTTGCCCTACTCTCGAGATCGGAATAACTCGCAACAGTATCCCGAAAATGGTCCCTGTGTATCTCAATATGCGATTATCAATGCCTCCTGTAGCAAACCTAGAGCCCTCAGCGACCGTCCGTCTAGCATAGCTTGCAGCACAAGACAGACCACGGCCTGAGCCTCTGTCAGGTTGGGATGGTTTGAGGCAAAAGACGAGAGTCATACAGCGCTGTCGTAGTTCGTGGATTGTGGAGCTAGCTGTGCATAATGTGAACTCTTTTCTTTTTTGACGCCAAGACGAGCATCATCAACATCAGCTGCATTTCGATTGGAATTTTCTCTCCGATCTGCCAGCATTTTGAATCCACAGCACACGTAGCAGCTCGACCCAGTGAGTGGACGGATGTAGAAACCGCCAGGGCGAGCATCATCAGCATCAGCTGCATTTCGAAGAAACTCTCTCTCCGATCTCCTGGCCTTTGAACCTCATAGCACTCGTAGCAGTTCGATCCAATGAGGGGGCGGATCTAGAAGGCGGCAGGGCAAGCATCATCAGCATCAGCTGCATTTCGTTTGAAACCCTCTCTCCGATCTTCCGGCCTCTGAACCTCATAGCACTCCAAGCAGTTCGACCCAATGAGGGGACATATTTAGAAGGCGGCAGGGCGAGCATCATCAGCATCAGCTGCAGTTCGGTTTGAAACTCTCTCTCCGATCTCCTTGCCTTTGAACCTCATAGCACTCCTAGCAGTTCGACCCAATGAGGGGACGGATTTAGAAGGCGGCACGGCGAGCATCATCAGCATCAGCTGCATTTTGTTGAAACTCTCTCCCCGATCCCGCCTCTTGAACCTCATAGCACTCGTGGCAGCTCGACCCAATGAGGGGACGGATTTAGAAGGCGGCAGGGCAAGCATCATCAGCATCAGCCGCATTTCGGTTTGAAACTCTCTCTCCGATCTCCCTGCCTTTGAACCTCATAGCACTCCTAGCAGTTCGACCCAATGAGGGGACGGATTTAGAAGGCGGCACGGCGAGCATCATCAGCATCAGCTGCATTTTGTTGAAACTCTCTCTCCGATCTCCTTGCCTTTGAACCTCATAGCACTCGTGGCAGCTCGACCCAATGAGGGGACGGATTTAGAAGGCGGCAGGGCAAGCATCATCAGCATCAGCTGCATTTCGTTTGAAACTCTCTCTCCGATCTCCCTGCCTTTGAACCTCATAGCACTCCTAGCAGTTCGACCCAATGAGGGGACGGATTTAGAAGGCGGCAGGGCGAGCATCATCAGCATCAGCTGCATTTCGTTTGAAACTCTCTCTCCGATCTCCCTGCCTTTGAACCTCATAGCACTCCTAGCAGTTCGACCCAATGAGGGGACGGATTTAGAAGGCGGCAGGGCGAGCATCATCAGCATCAGCTGCATTTCGTTGAAACTCTCTCTCCGATCTCCTGCCTTTGAACCTCATAGCACTCCTCGCAGTTCGACCCAATGAGGGGACGGATTTAGAAGGCGGCAGGGCAAGCATCATCAGCATCAGCGGCATTTCGTTTGAAACTCTCTCTCCGATCTCCCTGCCTTTGAACCTCATAGCACTCCTAGCAGTTCGACCCAATGAGGGGACGGATTTAGAAGGCGGCAGGGCGAGCATCATCAGCATCAGCTGCATTTCGTTGAAACTCTCTCTCCGATCTCCTGCCTTTGAACCTCATAGCACTCCTCGCAGTTCGACCCAATGAGGGGACGGATTTAGAAGGCGGCAGGGCAAGCATCATCAGCATCAGCGGCATTTCGTTTGAAACTCTCTCTCCGATCTCCTTGCCTTTGAACCTCATAGCACTCCTAGCAGTTCGACCCAATGAGGGGACGGATTTAGAAGGCGGCAGGGCGAGCATCATCAGCATCGGCTGCATTTCGTTTGAAACTCTCTCTCCGATCTCCTGGCCTTAGAACCTCATAGCACTCCTAGCAGTTCGACCCAATGAGAGGACGGATTTAGAAGGCAGCAGGGCAAGCATCATCAGCATCAGCTGCATTTCGGTTTGAAACTCTCTCTCCGATCTCCCGGCTCCTAAACCTCATGGCACTCCTAGCAGTTCGACCCAATGAGGGGACGGATTTAGAAAGCGGCAGGGCAAGCATCATCAGCATCAGCTGCATTTCGTTTGAAACTCTCTCTCCGATCTCCCTGCCTTTGAACCTCATAGCACTCGTAGCAGTTCGACCCAATGAGGGGACGGATTTAGAAGGCGGCAGGGCAAGCATCATCAGCATCAGCTGCATTTCGTTTGAAACTCTCTCTTCGATCTCCCTGCCTTTGAACCTCATAGCACTCCTAGCAGTTCGACCCAATGAGGGGACGGATTTGGAAGGCGACAGGGCGAGCATCATCAGCATCAGCTGCATTTCGTTTGAAACTCTCTCTCCGATCTCCTTGCCTTTGAACCTCATAGCATCGTAGCAGTTCGACCCAATGAGGGGACGGATTTAGAAGGCGGCAGGGCAAGCATCATCAGCATCAGCTGCATTTCGTTTGAAACTCTCTCTCCGATCTCCCGGCCTTAGAACCTCGTAGCACTCGTAGCAGTTCGACCCAATGAGGGGACGGATTTAGAAGGCGGCAGGGCAAGCATCATCAGCATCAGCTGCATTTCGTTTGAAACTCTCTCCTCGATCCCGCCTCTTGAACCTCATAGCACTCGTAGCAGTTCGACCCAATGAGGGGACGGATTTAGAAGGCGGCAGGGCAAGCATCATCAGCATCAGCTGCATTTCGGTTTGAAACTCTCTCTCCGATCTCCCGGCCTTAGAACCTCATGGCACTCCTAGCAGTTCGACCCAATGAGGGGACGGATTTAGAAAGCGGCAGGGCAAGCATCATCAGCATCAGCTGCATTTCGTTTGAAACTCTCTCCCCGATCCCGCCTCTTGAACCTCATAGCACTCGTAGCAGTTCGACCCAATGAGGGGACGGATTTAGAAGGCGGCAGGGCAAGCATCATCAGCATCAGCTGCATTTCGATTGAAACTCTCTCTCCGATCTCCCTGCCTTTGAACCTCATAGCACTCGTAGCAGTTCGACCCAATGAGGGGACGGATTTAGAAGGCGGCAGGGCAAGCATCATCAGCATCAGCTGCATTTCGTTTGAAACTCTCTCTCCGATCTCCCTGCCTTTGAACCTCATAGCACTCCTAGCAGTTCGACCCAATGAGGGGACGGATTTAGAAGGCGGCAGGGCGAGCATCATCAGCATCAGCTGCATTTCGTTTGAAACTCTCTCTCCGATCTCCCGGCCTTAGAACCTCATAGCACTCGTAGCAGTTCGACCCAATGAGGGGACGGATTTAGAAGGCGGCAGGGCAAGCATCATCAGCATCAGCTGCATTTCGTTTGAAACTCTCTCTCCGATCTCCCTGCCTTTGAACCTCATAGCACTCGTAGCAGTTCGACCCAATGAGGGGACGGATTTAGAAGGCGGCAGGGCAAGCATCATCAGCATCAGCTGCATTTCGTTTGAAACTCTCTCTCCGATCTCCCTGCCTTTGAACCTCATAGCACTCCTAGCAGTTCGACCCAATGAGGGGACGGATTTGGAAGGCGACAGGGCGAGCATCATCAGCATCAGCTGCATTTCGTTTGAAACTCTCTCTCCGATCTCCCGGCCTTAGAACCTCATAGCACTCGTAGCAGTTCGACCCCGGCCCTCAAGAATGAACCCTAAGACCTTGACCCGAGCCTTCCCACCCGAGGAAGAGCCATCAACCGTTCCGGCCTGTCCGGGCCTTGATCTGAGTTAGGGTTTAGGGTTTGACGGTTTAGGGTTTAGGGTTTAGGGGTTTAGGGCGTCTCGCCGCGCAGCGGCAGTATTTTCTATGTAGGATGGCGCCCCAACACTCCCAGGGGTGTGGGGGGGCGGCATATCGACGTCTAGCGTTCGAATGCGATTCCACCACTAAACAATTACACATTGGTTCCTCACCTTTTCCCACCCGCTGTGAGAATACACAGGCTACCACCCAAAACATTGCCTTTTAGGGTTTAGCGCTTACGCCCTCAATTCCCACCTGCCCGGTCTGTCTGTTGGGCCGTACCTACAAACGTTACAAAACAGAGCGGGTCAGGTCAGGGGTCAGGGAGAGGCCAGGGGAGGGTCAGGGGGGCCAGGAAGGGGCCAGGGGGGGCCAGAAAGCCAGGGGGGGCGGGGCCAGGGTGTTAGGGGGGTCCCAGAAGGGCAGGGAAGCCTCCAAGTCCCTGGAATCTGCCAGCTGGGGGACCCCCTGGGCCGGCCTCTGGGGCCTTTTCTGAGGGGGGGCAAAACGAAAACACCACCAAGGGATTTGGTCGTCGGGTTTAGGGTATTCTAATCTCTTGAGAATCGAGGGAATTCTCTCTGCGAATATGGGCGCCACGCAAGGGGCCTAATGGCTTGGCTCAGCCCTAGGGGCTGAATTCGACCATTCTCCAATGGCTCCACCCATTGTCCATCCAGAGTTGGTGTCAATCACTGCCGGATGTCCTTCTGGGTCCAGGCACCCTAAGAAAAAGGGTGGGTACGGCCTAAGCAGGCCTGGGTGGGAATTTAGGGTTTAGGGGTTTAGGGTTTAGGGTTTAGGGGTTTAGGGTTTAGGGTTTAGGGGTTTAGGGTTTAGGGGTTTAGGGTTTAGGGTTTAGGGTTTGACGGTTTAGGGTTTAGGGTTTAGGGTTTAGGGGTTTAGGGTTTAGGGTTTAGGGGTTTAGGGTTTAGGGGTTAGGGTTTAGGGGTTTAGGGTTTAGGGTTTAGGGGTTTAGGGTTTAGGGTTTAGGGTCTAGGGTGATCTGAGATGCATTTCTTACCGAGTAGTCGAGTAAGTAACCTTTGAACTGTTTGGAGCACTGGAATCCCTTTTTGGTTCCATTAACTGTTGGTTTCGCTACAAAACTGGACAGGTAAGATTAGCACCGCCCTGCAGCTTTGCATAGCTTCGCTCAGTCACCCGCTCTTCTCGCGAGGTTAATCTGGAATTGTTTGTGGCGTTTTGGGGGTTCTGCTTGGTTGTCCGACCTATAACTCCGGGCCCTAAATCCTAAATCCTACACCCCTAAGCACAGAAAGAAGCCATTGCACTTTAAAAAAACTCTACTTGTCAAGTCCCCCGGTCCTTCGATGTCAGACCCAGGAGGCCCTGTCTTAGGATCTCAGAGATCCGAGGACTTTCTTGATCCGCTGCCTTCTTGACCACGCTGTGACATCCAAATCCCAAAGTATTAAGGATTAGGATGGATTAGGTTTTAGGGATTAGGTTTAGGGATTAGGGATTAGGGTTCAAGGATCCGTTTCGGAACGCTCTTAGTGGAGACGCGAGGCTCGAAGCACCCTTCCGCTGGACAGATAGGGGCCGCAGATCTTCAAGCGCCCTCTACAACAACCTTCCAAAACCGTATCACCCCCATCACCCCCTCTCCTCCCCCTCCGAATCGTCTGTCAGGCGCGGGAAAAGCGTGAGATTGCCGGTTCCCAGCTTCAGCTTCCCAGGCCCCAAGGCTGGGTAGGGTTTAGGGTTTAGGGGTTCATTCGGGCTCCCACGTGTTGGGAGTGCAGTGCTTTGCGCCTTTGGGGACGTTTCGTGGCCAAAGTCCTGGGGTGTTTCTTCATTGAAGAGCTCGCTGGTACACTCACTTACTAACGCTAGCCTGCCTTGCGAGTGAGTGAGAGTTGGAAACTAAGCAGGACCCGCACTCGCACTGGCGATGTCGGGTATGCGTTTGGTGTGTTGTCGAGTTTTGTTCTTCTGCCTGGAGCTTGGCCGAAGCAAACAAGTTTGGAGGACTTAGTAAGCATGTCACAAAAGTTTCAAAAGACTTACAGCAAGTAGGATCATGCCAAGCACGACGTCTACATCACTGTGCTTAAGCCACCTTCCCATTCCCCGAGCCATGCGCCTAGAAAACAGAAAACTTAAAAGGTTCGAAGTCCCTGGGGTAGCGCTGCCAAGCTTCCCAGTTTTGGCTTGTTGAAGAAGCTCGAGGCAGAGAAGACTCTATGCGAAGAGCTGGAACGCTTCAAGAACGCAGGGAACCATGCTTTCCGGTCTGGAGACATGCAAGAAGCAGTACAGCAGTATACTAACGCAGTCGAGGCTGTTCGGGGTATATCTCCCGTTGGTCTAGACAGTGGGCGGGTTCATGCGGTCCTTCTCGCAAACCGTGCCCAGTGCTTCGTGGCCACGAAGCGCTATGAAGATGCTCTGACAGATTGTTCGGCAATTATCGATGAGAATCCCCCTCACCTCGGCTATGCCACTCCTGCGATTCGGGCTAAAGCTCTTTGTCGGATGGCCTTGGCGTTCAAAGGGTTAGAGGACCATGTAAAGGCCTGCGATGCAGCTCTGAGGGCACATGATCAAGGAAGTTCCATGGAAGGTCTCGCAAATTTGATGACAAGCTTGGGCATCTCACTTCACTCGACACGGAAAGACCGGAAGATTTCAGATTTCTTCGAACTGGTCCGAGAAGCTGCAAAGGGGTGTGCAGAAGCGAGGGAGAAAGTAGTGCATTTGTTGAACACAGAGGTGTTCCGAGTTGATGAGAGAGCTCCGGACAATGCAAGCGCATTGAAGCTGACTTGCGATTTATCAAACACATCGATGGCAAAACTTTTACTTGAACGTCGTGCTCAGCCGCACCAGCGCAATGAACGTTCCCGAACTCCTCTCATGTTTGCAGCCAGGAGTCTGGACATTGAGACATGCAAGTTGCTTCTGCGTGAGGGGGCATCAATAAACTCGCAAGATGAAAATGGCTGGACTGCATTGCTGACTGCCTTCACCCCGAAGGATGAGAGTATGAGCGAAAGAAGGGAGCTTCAGGAGCAAGTTGTTGATCTGTTGCTGTCGCAACGAGCAGACGTCAATCATCAAACTCATGCTGGAGACACGGCTTTGATCCTGGCGTGCATGTCAGCAAGCACGGGCGTGGCCGCTCGTCTCGTGAAGTATGGTGCTGAGTTTGGACGCTACTTGTACGGCTCAGCAGCTCACCCCAACAAAGATGAAGCCGACGCTTTCGTTGAAACAGCAAAATCATCCCGTGCCTGGCCAACAGAACGGGAGAGCTTGAAGGCGCATGCTTGGTCTGAGCTTCTGAACAATGAACTCAGAGTAGTTCACAATCAATCTGGCGAAAAGGCGCTCGCCTCTGGCATCGATCAAGCGTCGGGAGCTGTTCAGCAACTGCGAGATGTGCTTGGAGTCCTGCTTCGGCTGTGCAACCTTCCTGGCACGGCACGCGATGCAGTTCGCTCTGGAAGCAATCCGCTCTTTGTGTTGCACAAGCAACTTGTTGAGGACATGATGCCAGCTGTGATGAGAAAGTCTTGGAGTGATGCCGGCGAGATCAGCGAAGATGATGCCATGACCATGATCGCTGTGTGCGGCGATCGTTTTGCTCCTCTGGTTCGTTCCAATAAGCGAGGCAAGCTATGTGCCAACGAAAGCTGTTTTCGAGAGTTTATATATGGGCCAGTCACATCGTTTTTTTGCATTTGCGATCCCTAACACAGATGCCTTGAAGTGCATTACACGCTACTCGCCCGTAATTGAGATGGGCGCTGGCACTGGCTATTGGGCTGCACAGCTGGCAACGGAAGGCTGCGATGTCATAGCCTATGACATCCAGCCTCCTCGTGGTGACGTTGCAAACCCCTTCTTCAGCGAAATGTTCACAGAGATCAAGCAGGGCGAGCCAAGTGTTCTTTCAGAGCACAAAGGCCGTGCCTTGTTGCTGGTGTGGCCATACTCGCCGGAGACAGGTGGTGCTCACTGGGATGCCGAATGCTTAAGGCAGTATAGTGGAGAGACGGTGATCTATGTTGGCGAGTGGGAGGGGCAGACAAACCAAGCAGAAAGGTTTGGTTTGACATCATCAAGTACTTTCCAGCTCAAGCTCTCTGATGAGTTCGAGTGCACTGAGAGGTTGAAAATTCCGCAGTGGCCCTTTATGTGTGACGATCTGAGTGTTTGGACACGACGGGAAGGGAAGCTCTGAACACATGCATCAAAGGGCACGGCAAGGGGTTTCCAAGGAGATCCTGGCAGCTCTATGCATGTCAGTATTCAGACTGTACAGAGAGTGTGGATTTTTTCCAAAGGCCTGTGCCTTGGGACGTATGGCTCTCTCTTGCCTTAATTTAGCCATGAAGCTTTTGCCGAGGTGCCGCAAGCGTGGCTTTCAAAAGAAGCTTTGCATTTCCGCCGCTGCGTCGGCTTCGGTCCGATCTTCTCAGTCCTCGAGGCTTGAGCCCCTCGTGCTAAGGAGACCAGCTAGGCCCCATCCCTCTCAGAATTCTACTCCGAAGATGCCTCCTCCAACCCTTAACCCACCCTTCCGACCTCCAGCCAAGCCGCCTGTCGGGCATCCGAAAGGAAATTGGTCGGCGTAGCTCTGGGAGGAAAGGCCGGCAAAGAGTGAGGGCCTGAGATCTGCGCAGCCAGCTTCGGTCGGAGGGCCGAAGAGAAGCCGCGTTCCGTGTTCTTGTCTGCCATCGAAGGTGCAATGTAGTTTAGGGCTCCAATCCGGGTAAGGGTGTTGACGGGATTTATGGCGGCTCTGCCAGGAATTTATGCGGAAGTCATACGGGCTTTAGAAGGGCGTTGCAGGGATTTGTGGGGCCTCCGCTTCATGGTTTCGTGTCTTCAGGCCAGGGCTGGACCAGAGATTTTAGGTAAAGACGGAGAGATGATGTCTGGGTATCCCCCTGCGCAGGCCCTGTGTAACTCTTGTTGGCCCGTTTGCAGGATTTCAGGTCCTGTTCCTGCGGTACATCATGGGGTCCTGTAAGGAGGATTCCGGGTTGAGGTCCTGATGCCAGTGTGGTCTTTTGGGGTGAAGGCCTTGCACACAGGTTGTTAAAAAAAACCCTGGCACTTCGGGGGTCCTGGGGTTCCACTGAAAAAACGCCTGCCAAAACTCTACACCCTAACAGTGGAGACTCGAGATGCCTCAGTGCCCAGACGCCTTCAGCCCTAAATTCAACAGAAGGGGACGCCGTGGACGCTTGTTTCTTCCTTGTCGGTTGTGTTCCCAGCCGGTGCCCTGACTTAATGACTTAATTTTTTTAAGTCATTAAGTCAGGGAACCGGCTGGATCCAAGATCCAAGATTGCAGGAAAAAGTTTCTTGGATCCATCTTGGATCAAGCCGGGGCCCTGACTTAATGACTTAATTTTTTTAAGTCATTAAGTCGGGGCCATCCCGGATCCAAGATCCAAGATTGCAGGAAGAAGTTTCTTGGATCCATCTTGGATCCAGCCAGGACCCTGACTTAATGACGTACTTTTTTTCAGTCATTAAGCCGGGGCCCTCCCAGATCCAAGATGGATCCAAGAAACTTTTGTCTGCAATCTTGGATCTTGGATCCAGCCGGGGCCCTGACTTAATGACTTAATTTTTTTAAGTCATTAAGTCGGGCCCCGCCCGGGTCCAAGATGGATCCAAAAAGCTTTTGTCTGCAATCTTGGATCTTGGATCCAGCCCGGGCCCTGACTTAATGACTTAATTTTTTTAAGTCATTAAGTCGGGGCCCTCCCGGATCCAAGATCCAAGATTAAAGGAAAAAGTTTCTTGGATCCATCTTGGATCCAGCCAGGACCCTGACTTAATGACTTAATTTTTTTAAGTCATTAAGTCGGGGCCCTCCCAGATCTAAGATGGATCCAAGAAACTTTTGTCTGCAATCTTGGATCTTGGATCCAGCCGGGGCCCTGACTTAATGACTTAATTTTTTTAAGTCATTAAGTCGGGGCCCTCCCGGATCCAAGATGGATCCAAGAAACTTCTTTCTGCAATTTTGGATCTTGGATCCAGCCGGGGCCCCGACTTAACGACTTAAGTTTTTTTAAGTGTTTAAGTCGGGCCCCGGCTGGATCCAAGATCCAAGATTGCAGAAAGATGTTTCTTGGATCCATCTTGGAGCCGGGGCCCCGATTTAAACACTTAAGTTTTTCCAAATCTTTAAATCGGGGCGCGTGGCTCTCGGAGCGGGTCCAAGAATTTTTGTTCTGCAATGTTGGTTCTCGGACCCAGGGGGCACAGCATTGTGTCTGTCTGGCACATAACGGAAACCTCAATGGAATTCCACCTTTCCACATGTGCTGCGTCCAAAGCCACAGAGCTTTGCACATGTGGAGATGTGGAATTCCATTGGGCTTTCCATATTTCCAAACCTGTTGACCTTAATTCTGCAGAGCTCAGGATCATAGGGCTCCCAATAATTATGTACTATAGTCTATTCCACCAAACCAGACTACAGGTGTGCCGCTGATATACTATAGTAGCCATTTGTTTTTACACCATTGCGAAACTATGCAACACTGTAACGTCCAAGGGTATCCTTTGCGTTGGTGCTGGACTAGGCTATGTTTGAATGTAGTAAGTTGCACTACCATATACCAAGCCCCTTTGTGCTATGCTGGATTACACGATACCGCATTGCATTGCATAGCAGTCGACACAGTACCACTCAATATTTGATAGTTAATCGTCATCTATGCTCGAGTTTACTGTACTGGGTTTGCCCGTATTGAAAGGTACTACATTGCACTTTGCTATACTAGACCATACTAGATTATGGCGTGAATGCTTATCTTTAACACATTGTACTATGCTACGCTCTAATAACCTAAATTGAAACATTGTATATCACATCATATGCATATCCGATACAAGCAATTGAAGGCCCTTCGATTAGTCCAGTGAAAGAAGATTAGCCTAATGGGAAGTCGAACTCGTGATTTTGCTCAGTTTACTCATCGTATACGTTGACATAACACACACTACCAAAGAAAGCACAGCCTCAATTCGTACTTGCGATATACCCCGCCATTTTGGCACCGAGGGTACTGCGAGCAGATACCCTGTGGTGTCGACTCCGAGCCTTGTAAGTGGATATGTGTACCACATTCTTCGGTTCATGCACGCAAATCGCTCTTTCTATGACCTATGCTCGTGCTTTATATAGTGAGTCAGAACTGACGGCAGAATAGTACACTAGACTCCTGACTATAATTCGCTATACTATGCTAGCGCACTATACCTTGCTATATCATGCTATGCTCTACTATACCCTCCAAAAATAGTAAACATAGTAAACAGGGCCATGCAACAGTGTATTTTCCTACACCATGCTGCGGTAGTGCTATACTAGACTATCGTATCCCATATAGTGTATGCTATACCACACTGCAATATAGCGTCAACGCTACAATATGCTATCGTGCACTTTACTGCCAATGTCATATCACAACATACTGTAATACACCAGACTAGAACATAAGGCTGATCTCTGTCTTCTACCTTCGACCTACAGTATTCATATTCAACAGGTTCGTATGATATCAGACTACCATAATCTGTACCTATAGCACAGTATACAGCTGTTCTGTATACTACACATACATGATGAACTAGACTGTACGCCGCAATACTGCACTATACTGTTCTGTCCCATATTACGGGGCACCATGCCATATTATATCTTACGCTCCAGTATACGGGCACCATGCCATGTTATATCTTACGCTCTACTATACTATACCCTACTTTTGTATGCACATGCGAAAAGTACCACAATGCCACGCCTGGTGCCTCATAAGTTACATTAAAGCCCGGCCGGATCCTGGTCAGAGATTTTTGGGTAGCTTAACATTGGTTCATGAGAAGCTTCATGAGGAGCAAGCAGGCCACAAGATAGAACTACCGAGAATACATCGTAGTTCGCGCTGTTTCATATGGCGTCTATCTATAAAGAGCCTTGGACCAAGGTAATATACGGATAGGAAACTACATGAAGGTGGGTCTTCGAAGGGGGTGACCATGGCTGCTTCTGGATGGGTGTTGCTCATTTTATGTTTTCGACTGCTTGATGTTGTGATCCGGTGTGGAACAAACAAGCGTCCACAGCGTCCTCCTCCCAAATTCAAATGTACCGAAAGCCTAATTTAAAGCATAGACCCCAGCAGCCACTTCTGGCAGTAGGTTCCCTTAAACGTTTCTGTAAGGGAAGTTTTGAGGCTTAAATCTGACAGCGGCAGGGCGAGCATCATACCTTATTTTGGGGTCCTTACAATAGGATCTTATTTTGGGATTTTGGGGTCCTTATAATAGGATCCCAAAATAAGATCCCTCTCATAGGATCTTATCAGCATCAGCTGCCGGTCTCCTTTGAAACGCTCTCTCCGATCTCCCCGGCCTTCGAACGCGGTTCAACCATTGGTAGTGGTAGCAGTCGTGGTCGTGTAGTGGTAGTCGCAGTAGTCGTAGTAATCGTAGTAGTGGTAGTGGTAGTGGTTGTAGAGGTCGTAGAGGTCGTAGTAAGTCGTAGTAGTCGTACTAGTCGTAGTAGGCGTAGTAGTCGTACTAGTCGTACTGGTCGTACTACTAGTACTAGTACTCGTACTGGTACTGGTCATGGGTAACGGAAATTGTAATGGTACTGGTACCGGTACAGGTACTGGTACTGGAACGGTAATTGTTTTGGTGATGGTCATGATATCGAAAGCAGAAGTATAGCAACACAACAGCATCCCTTTGTCATAGTTGGGTAACATGTTACATGTTTATGGCCACTTAAACCCAATAAGGAACAAACATGTACATCTTTAATCCTATCCCAACAAATGAACTAGCTCCGTCAGCTTCCAAGGCCTCGGGCAGAGGACACGTGCTGCTCGAGGAGCTCGCGGGGGTTCATATACCCTATAATTGGCTATATAATGGGTACATAATGGCTATATTAAGGGTATAGTACCTAGGGGTGATTATACGGGCTCTCTGCGTTCCGACGGTTCCTCAGGGTGCTGTGATTTGGGCCTTTCGGGGTGTTTCGGGGCCTAGGTCGACGGCATTGGCATCAGGCGTTTAGTGCAGGACAGATCTGCACTTGTTGCGACCTTCGTCCGTCGCTGGCAAGGGATGGCCTGCAATGTCACAGTTTAGAGAGGCCTCACGCACACGGCTCGGGGGGATGCAAGATTCGGCTTTGATTCGACGGCGTAGCGCACATGATGCCTGCGGAATCGCACAACTCTTGAAACGGCAAAGCTTCTCAACTGCAGGGTGGCACTCAGCGAAGTTCCAAAGTGTCCCAGAACGAGGACGAAGGCAGAGTGTCCGCTTGCAACTGATGTCCATGGCAAGAAAGTCGGAGCTGCACTCTTTTGGGTTTTTGGAAAGCCGCTCTGCCGTAAGTTGCAGCTCAAGCAAAGACGGTCGTCTCAGCGTCTCCATTCCTCCCTTGTGTACCAGTCGCCATGAACTTCGGATCATTGGGTTTCCGTGTGCTTGTGCCACTCATGCTCGCGGGTTTGGTCTCTGCACAAAACATCACAAGCATCGTCACCTCCGTGCGAGACCCCGTGAGCCTCAACGGAGCCACTGGCATTGCCATCTCGGGTGATTTTGCCTATGTGACCGCAGAATATGACGATGGCATCACCATTCTCAACATCGCGGATCCCGGCAACCCCACCCTTGTGGGGAACATTGCAGATCCTCAGCTGAATGGTGCCGCCGGCATCGCCATCTCTGGGGACCATGCTTTCGTGAGCTCCTACTTTGCCGGCCTGACAGTGATTGACATCGCTGACCCCAGCAACCCAACAATCACAAGCTCCCTCTACAACAGCACTCTACTCAATGGAGCTTTTGATGTCAAAGTCGTGGGGGACTACGCATACGTGTCGGCAACTTATAGCCACTGTTTCGCGGTGGTCGACATCAGCGATGTTAGCGCTCTCAGAATCGAAGGCTGGATCCAGGACCAAACGGTACTTACCTGGGTCAAGGGCATGGAGGTTGTTGGCGACTACGCTTACCTGGCCGCACACGAGAGTGACCGCCTGGCCGTGATCAACATAACGGATCCCAGGAACCCTGCCGTCGCAGGATTCGTGCAGTCTCATCTGCTTGAAGGAGCTGAGGATGTGGTCGTGGTTGGGAACTTCGCCTATGTGAGCGCGAAGAGATGGGGGTCCACGCCGGGCATCACTGTTGTCAACATCGCCGACCCAAGCAATCTCACTATCGAGTCCGCGATCTTCGATTCGGACTTGTTCTGCGGCATCGCTGGCATCTCCGTGGCTGGGAGCCATGTGTACACAGCGTCAAGCTGCAATCAAATCACAGTGGTTGACATTACTACCCCAACCTCTCCGTCCATCTACAGCAACATCACAGGCTACTCGGACCACCGAAAGATTGCAATTGCCGGGGACTTGGCTTTTGTGACTGCGGGAGAGGATGACGGTCTGGCCGTGGTGAGCATCAACAATCCGAGCAATCTCAGCATTGCATCCTTCTACTCTGACTTCGCTAACGGCTTCCTGGAATCCCCTGAGTTCATTGCGGTCTCTGGGGACTATGCTTACATCACGGGAGAAGCAGGTAGCCTTGCGGTGTTCGATATCAGCAACCCCACTAGCCCACGCCTCCACGGGGTCGTTCGTGATGCAGAGAAGCTGGATGGTGCCGAGGGCCTCGCGATCGCCGGCAACTATGCCTACGTGGCGGCCAATGACTACGACGGCTTGGTTGCTGTTGACATTAGCAACCCTAGCAATCCCACTATTGCAGGGTTCCTCCAGGACGATGACCAATTTGATGGGGCCACAGACGTCGCGATTGCCGGGCACTATGCCTTTGTGACATCATACGATGAAGACAGGGTGACAGTTGTGGACATCAGTGACCCCAGCAACCTGACCGTGGTAAGCTTCTTGAAAGACAACAGTCTCGACGGAGCCGAGCAGATTGTGATCGTTGGGGACTACGCCTACGTAAGTGCCTACAGGGAGGACTCCTTGACCGTTATCAACATCGCAGACCCGCGCAACCTCACGATTGCAGGCACCATCAAGGACGACCGGCTTGATGGAGTGCGCGGCCTTCAGATTGTCGGGGACTATGCATTCATGGCTTGCTACAGAGAGCACGGCATGGCGTCGATCAACATTGCCGACCCCAGCAACATGTCCATTGCGCACTTCCTCCGAGACGACGATCACCTTGATGATGCCAGACAGCTTCAGGTCTTGGGGAACTATGCTTACGTGTCGACGAATGATCATGATGGCTTGGCCGTCGTCGACATCAGCGACCCGTTCAATCTCACGGTCGTGGAGTTCACGGAAAGCCTCCGGTATTTCCAAGGATCCAGAGGCATTGCGATCGTCGGAGGCCACGCTTTGATTGTGGCACACGACACCGACATGCTGACTGTGGTCAGCATCCTCACGACCACAACCACGACTACGATGGTGACAGTCACTGCCACGACGGAGACGGCTACCACGGAGACGGCTACGACGGAGACGGCCACGACGGAGACCGCCACGACGGAGACGGTCATGACGTTGACGACCACTTCCACAAAGACCACAACCGAGACCCGGACTGCCACCTGGCAGACGGCCACCGCTACTGCGACGACCTCGGCAACCACTGTTGCTGCAGAGTCTCTCGACATAAGCCATGCCGTGCAATTCGGAGGTTGGGCCCCACAAGCTTGTGCTGCAATTTTTGCTTTTCTGAATCTCTGCCTTTGATGACACTTGTCTGCGCTCGTGAGACCGTTCCTATCATCTGCGCTGGTTCGTTGTTAGCCCAAAGCTTCCTTGTTCATGCAGCATAGTGCAACCGAAAGGCAGTGATTGTTCACTCCACCGAGGCTGTTAAAGCCGCTGTTTTCTGCATAAAAAACCCATCACAATGTGGTTGGGTGCAGTCTACAAAGGCAACGGAGTGTTTTTGGCGCTCTTGATCTGGTTAGTAGTAGTGCATACCAGAGTGTTGGTTCTTCGTAGGCACAACACTTCGTTTGAATGCAACGTGATGCAGCTCAAGGCGCATTGAATTTTCAGGCTGTCCAAGCCGCCGTTTTGTGTCCAAAAACCCACCACGAAACGGCCGCAGCTGCATTTCTGTGGAACTGGCTGCGACTGTGGTAGGGTGCAGTCTATAGTGACTTATAGTGGAAGGGCACTCCTGCCTCCTGTACCTTATCTGGTGCTGGCGTCCCCTCAAAGGTCCCGCAAAGGGCCATACCAATTCCTGCTAAGTATTGATGAGAGGAAAAGTGCCGGGTGTTGCGTCAACTTTGCAAGGCGGCCTTGGTTGTGAGGCTCTTGTGCCCTCGGCACTCCATCTGCTTCAAGTTTCAAGCAGAGCGTTCCGACTGACAGTGCGAGGCGTGCGGAAAGGACAAGTTGGAGGCGGGTTCCCCTGCCACTTGGGCATTCTGGCAGAATTGTGGTGGTGAGGTGTCCCGTGGATAATGCATTGCTGTCGCAAGCGCATTTCAGGACTTTACTACTTTGCGTGGTGTGAGAAGCTTGTGCGGCAAGCGTATTTAGATGCCATGGTGTCAGCATGTGTCAGCTGGCTATGCTGGGACATGGCGGATCAAAAGACAGCACTGTATCTCGCACGTCCACCGCGGTCAGACACTGCTGTGATGAGAACCCTCGGCCCTAAACCCATCACGTCCGAAGTGCGGAGGTCTTCGATGCGCTCATGCCACCTGCAGCGTCTCAGCCACGGCGGTGAGTGATTCAGGGAGGCAGGGATTATTCCAACTTCCACGGCGCTGTGGACCTGAACACCAGGGAACACCATAAACCTCAGACTCTTGCGTAACCTCCTTGTTTGGCGGCCCTTGTAGCAGGTTGCAAAATCCCGTCACAGCCCTTATAAGACCGCATAAAACCTATTCATGAAGCGCTTCTACAATCCGCTATCGCCGTCGCAATCAAAGGGGCCTAAATAAACCCCTGTATAATTATTTAGGGGGTTCCTTATTACAATTATAGTATCTGGGCCCCAATACCCTATTCTAATTCTTCAGACACCTATATTAAGTGCTGGGGGCAGGTCCACAGGATCAGGAGGTGGAGCAGTGGAGGGAAAGAGTCCGGACGAGGCCGGGTTGGCAGTAAGTTGAACGTTTCGGGTTTAAGTTTCGAGTTTCGGGTTTAAGATTTAGGGTTTAGGGTTTAGGGTTTTGGGGTTTAGGTTTCGGGTTTAAGGTGTTATCGTTAGGGTTCCAAGGTTTGGAGTATGGGGTTTGAGCATTTTGGCTGATTACATTGTCGGGGGAGTAGAGTGAGGAGAGCTAACATACTTGGAGTAGAATAGTTATTGACACCCCCTTATAGTATTATAGGTTTTACTCGTATTTCGACCACAACGTCCCATACTAGTCATGAAGGCCCCTGCATTCAACTCTAAGCAGACCCGTCGGTTTGAGAAGGCTCTTGCTTGTTCCTCCTTGCGGTCGTCGTCGTTGCCGCAGCCGTTGTAGCACCGGTTTGGGAGTTGAAGTTGTAATCGTCGTCGTCAGCAGCAGCTACTCGTAGTAAGTAGAAGGGTGCAGTACTAGGAGCAATTCAAAAATATTTTCTACCGTACTGCATTTACAAAATTATATGATAATATTCCATGAAAATACTATAAGCATCCTTTTGCTCATCTTTTCCAGCTCCCGAAGCAAAAGCGTTCCCTGCAGCAAGCAGGCCAGTCCAATCCAGAGCGAATCCAGGCTAAACCCCCAAATCCTGATCCCAAAAGACTAAACCTTCTTCCCCCAACCCGAAGCCCTATGTCGAAAACTTGGGCACAGTCGTTGCCCAGATCAAACTCTTTGTGAAGCCCTGCTAAATTTCGGTCAGGTCCGGTGCAGCTCTGAGCTGCGGCAGAAACAGTACTCGGTCTTGCCGGCGCTTCAAAAGCATGCACAAGCCGTGGCGTCCCGCCACAGCCCAGAGACCCCAGTGCCCCGCCCAAACAAAAAGATGTTGGTAAACTCCTACAAGGCTTCATATGAAGGTCGAAGCCCTACAGCTTTGTGTTTTTGGCTTCACGTTTTGGAGTTGAAGGATGAGTTGGGGTTTCCAGTTTTTGAATTTCCGATCAGCCGCTGGCGACTTGGGGCCGGGTTTGTGCTGCAGAAGACGCCGAATGCACGACTCCAATCTGCCATCTGCAGTATATATATATATATATATATTTATTTATATATATATATAAGGGATCTTTGGGGGGTACCATATATATATATACATACATACACACACACATGAGTATATACATATACGCACATACGTATACACATACATGACCAGTATCACTAGCTATTCCCAAGCCCATATTCCCTTGAACCCTAGAACCACCCTCCAAAGTCTCGTCAGAAGTGGCATCGACACCACGCAAGCAATCGGGCTGTGTATGGCTCAAGCCCGGAAAAGGGTAGCTTGACGTGCCCTGGGTTTGGTGGGGGCCCTTGGATCGTTTGGTTTAGGGGTTATGGGCTCTGTCCAGACTCTATGGGGAGTTTGTATGAGGCTTCTTCATGAAACCGGTAATCCGTCAAGTTGCTTTAGCCTGACATTTCTTCGCGGCACATTTCGCCTACTGCCGGGTATTCATGGTTCGGATTCCGTATCAAGGGTCTTCTTTAAGTCTTTTTCCTCGCTGGGATTTTCTTGTTGAGTTATCCTTATTGAGGTATGCTAACTAAGGTGTCCTCTGTTGTTGGGATCCTTAGTAATGTTTCCTCACCAAGGCTCCTGGAAGGAATTCCTTATTAAGGTCCTTGCTTAGGTATCTTTGTTCACGGTTCGCATTCAGAAGTCCTTATGAAGATATCCTTATCGAAGTTGGATCCTGAGCGAAAATTAACCCAAACCCCAAACTTCTTAGCACTCATCCCAAGCCCTAAACCGAAAAAGCCCTCCAAGACGAAGCCACTAGGTCTGGTGGGCTTAGGGTCTTGGGAGTTGGCTGACGGTTTGAGGGTATTGAGGTCCTGTGCGCGCCGAGCAATGAAAGGCATCGAATATGGAAGCAGACATGAATGAAAACGGATGACTAGGTGGCAATTTGGGAAACTTTTTGATTTCCCTTCTGGTTCCTATAGAGGTACCTATTCATAAATACTTTTCAGAGCCCCAGAACTACAACCCAGATGAACAGGGGATGGTACGTACGAATTCTCGACTACCCGTGGCTCCAGGGCCGTCTCAGCAAGACCTAAGCCCGGAACGCTGAACCCTAAACCCGAACCCTAAACCTTGAACCCTAAACCCTAAACCCTTAACCCTAAACCCTAAACCAAACCTTGAACCCTAAACCCAAAACCCGAAACCCCGAACCTGCGAACCTCCCACCCTGAGAGCCTGATTTGCTCAAGGAGACAACGAAGAGTGGGCGGTTTTCGCCCGGAAGTGGCCCACTAGGCGCGGCATCTTCATTTGGGTGTTCCTTAACACGCTAGAGAGGACCCGGTATTGAGCCTGAATGGCACGGTCCTCGTCAGGGGGGCCGTGTGGATGCAAGGATATATCGGCCCAAGAAGCTAAGGCCAAAATGACGACGAGAGCCTTGTCAGGGCTGCCAGATCCGATTCCTGCAGAAAGCTTAGATTTGCGGTTCCATGTTAGTTTACTCAATTCCGAGGCTTGAACTGGGAGCAGAAAGTCCGTAGTCCTTACCCCCGGAAAGCCTCCACATGCTTACAAACCTGAGGGCCCAGGAACAAGAGCCCCAGCCTTAGCTCAAAAGGGCTCTGCAGGTGTGATGCAGGCAGCTGGGGGATGGGAGATTCCCAAACAGGGGTCCTCATTTAGGGGGTTCCTGAACCTACTTTTACCCATGTTTTGACCCAGCAAAGACTTTGTCATGCCAGGCGTGGCTGCCACGCAGAGCGGCAACTGTCGGATGGGTTGTTCGTCTTATGTCCTTATAGAGCTTTTCGGGAAATGAAACCCTAGACTCCAAACCCGTTAAGCCTCATAGACGTGCTTAGACCCAGACGCTGGATTGAGAAGCAGATAGGGTTTAGGGGTTTGTTTAGAGTTGGGTTTGGGGTTTAGGGTCTGGGGCCGGAGTAGAGCGATGCGCGCGGCTGGCCTCTGGATCTTCGTCGCCACAGCCTCAGCTGCCGAGGGTCCTCGGACCCTCGGGGGCGTGGACCCAAAGCCTCATGAGACCCCTTTTATAGCCCTAAACCCCGAAACCCGCCAGCTAGGAGTTTTTTGGAAGAAAATCTGCACATGACTCTGACGATTAGCAGTATAGGCATTCGTCTTCTTCTCGAGATTATCGTTGCTATTACCGCTGGTGCTGGCACTGTTGGTAGCAGTGTTAGTAGTATAGTATTACTCATTCGAAGGGCCCCCCTGAGCAGAACTCCGAATTTTCCGGAACCCCTCAAGTCAGAGCTCCGGTCCTGAGATACCCTAAATCCCAATCTCTGACTGAGGTGGGCCTCTCCTGCGCCCTTTCCGCCAAGCTCGCAGAGGCGGGACTCACAGACTCAACATCACGTAGTGCAAGGGTCGAAACTGTAGCCTGCGGCTTGCTAACGCCCATGCAATCCTTGCCAGCAGTGCCAACATTCTAGGCAAGTTCGGCTGGACAAAGTGCCGCAGGTTTGCTTGATTCGCTTATCCGGCAGAAATCCGTGAATAATATGCCGGGCCTGAATATTCAGAAAATGTAATCCCTGTAGGGCCATATTCCAATTACTGACCCCCCTACATCAGAAGGT